GCCGAGCGTATTTCTCGAGCTATCGCGCGAAACTGCTCGTCGCTGCATTTTTACGTGGCGTCGCTTAATATAGTGGCTGCCCCAAAGTCCGGGATGATCGCCTATTGCGGTAAATTCATAAATTTGTCACTCTATCCACACCGAGAACATCTGTGAGTGCGGAAAAGAATGGGAATGTTATTCTTCGGGTGTACGTACTGATTCAACGCGGAATTTATGGCCTGGTTTCACGTCTTGCCGAATATTTCATGCGCAATTATTATCAAAATGATAGTAGGAATTGTTTCAAGTCGGGTTCGAACCCCAAATTAACAGTGGGGTCCCGAAATCATCCGAAATTACCGAAATTTATATCAGAGCTTGCAACCTAATAATGCTTGATACAACCTCGTGAAATTGATATTAATATTACCCCAATTATATTATTAATATCATGCGAGGGAATCAATTTTCCTATTCTAATTAACCGTCTGATTATTACGAACGATCCTAATTATCCTTTTTCCTCGTTTCGAAAGGTAGTAACGCCGTAACTGGAAGAGGGAGAAACTGTTCGCTGGATTCTCGAGAGAGTTAGCTAGCGACGCGGTTACTCGAACCGGATGATTAAATTCCCAAAAGCAGTCGGTACACTCGCGATTCATCGTCTCCTTGGGGTGTAGCTACAGCACGGATCGTGGAAGACCTCTGTGGCGGGTGCTTATAGGTGCAAAGGCCTTGAGGATGCAGCCTAACGTAGCAAACCTAATCTTGAGCAAGTCGATGCGTCCGGGTTAACGAAGCGCCGCGTACAACGGGTGTCAGGTTAATCGAGTTTAATCCAGCAGCTCGCTATTTCCACCGATTTATCCACGAAAATCTCGTCTGAGTATTCTTACTGCGCGATGGATCGTTTTGCGACGTATTTCCAGCAAGAAGCTAATGAATTTCCTTGGATATGCAGCTTTTAATCTCAAACGAGACAGAAATCTTCTTATTCTCTTGGTGAATGAGGAATGAGTTACTTTCAGCTTAATCGTTCGATTAAGTACTATCATTTATGTTTTTAGTTGAAGTACGACACTTATTTTAAGGGAGGAACGTAGATGTTGATTGCGACACAGTTGTGCGCAAACGTTAACGAACATTTAGAGAGGACCCTGGCAAAAATATCGAAAGGCAGAGTTGAAGGATTTCGCTTTGATCTCACGCCGATGCTCCCGGGATTTCACTCGGGAAAACTTTGATGACGTAAAAGGATTTTTCTCTGGATAGTACTCCGGCTGCGTCGCGGTGAATTCCTTGCAGTATCCTCTGCTAGGAAATAAAGTAGAAAGGGTTGATGGTTCATGACAGAATGAAAAGTATTGGCCGCGCTTCTCCCTCATCCCTTTCCATCGCCATTTCCTTCGGCTTACTTTTATTTATTTCTTCCCTGCCAGATATTGTGTCAATCTTTAATTAATCCTCCGCCGGTGGGTGCCAGGTCACGTGTGACCCAAGTTTTGATGACATATTCGTCATGTTCGTGCGATTATGAAGTTGAAATTTAGACTTGATTGATTTCTTCTTTTAATTTGTAAATGTGAATCATTTTATTTGAAAAAGTGTTATCCAAGAAGAGATAACAGCGTGATTGTAAAATAATAATATTTATCATCACACAAAGTATATCTTGCCTTTCTCCTCGGCTTTTGTCTCGTTATGTATTCCTTCTTTTTATTTTCCAGTCGAGCGTTCTATTCTTTCGACTTTCCCTTCCACTTTTCCTGATCTTTTTTTCTCGGGAAATGTTTCGATGAAATTACGAGTCGAGAACAGTATAGGTTAATAGTATATTTCCAGGTATTTTCTTACAAAAAACCTTGCCCGTTTTATCAGAACGAGCTTTTATTGGTTTCAGTCGTAAAGATTCGTATAACGAGACCTAAGATGCCCGTGTACGTGATACGTTTCTACTTTCGCCTTAAGCGGACTTCACAATCGAATTATTCCTTTCACGATCGAACCAGTATTTTTACGTGCACGAACAAACAGATTCTCCCATTATAATTAAATAGATTCTTTCCTCGATGTTTTAGCGTAATGAGCCGTTTAATTAATAGTAAGTAACGAGTGTCTATGAGCCCTCGCTACATTAAAATTAACAAGATTTCTTTCATGGTTTTATCTCGCAATGGTCTCATTATAATCATAATTTATTACAGCTATAACAATATTTCAGAAGAGTTCAACCTAGCCAGGATACATTGTGGACCATAAAGTCAAATGAATTAAAATCTCTTTTATCTAGCTTTAAGATTATATATACACGAATAACAATAATTATTACTGAGAAATTTATATCCCTTCATAAAATTTCTGTCGACACTTCACCTATATTTCTTAATTGCGAAACGGTTAATACGTCTAATCGTCCGAAGCTTTCTCAAGTATTTCCTCGGTCAGTTGTCTAATCGATCTCGAGCCTCGCCGAGGGTCGTACACGTCCGTACACAGAAAATTTCTTCGATTGGTAGCCCTGTAACTGTCTAGCAAACCGATTGGCATCTGGTGAAGGCAGCAGGTGGCCGTGTCATCGAAGGAAGAAGAAAAAAGGGCCACGTACTCAGACCTGTTTGCCAGAGGCGAATTGCCGAAAGGAGCGCTTCCCTTCTGCTCGTTCGCCTCCCTCAAACGGCCTCCTCGCCAACGAAACTTCCTATTCCACGGGTAATTTCGCATTCTTCCGGAATTTATTCGCGAAATCGCTACCTTGAATACCAAGAGCCCGCGTACCGGCCCGAATGAACCGTGAGAAACTTCTCGGCGATTTTTCCATACCACGTTTCCATCCGAACTGCCGTGCCGTTCCATTCGCGTGAAACAGATCCGGAAGTGCTCGTTTCGCGTCCCAGCAAACGGAACTCGACCGGACTTTGATAAGGGAAAGATAAGGGAATTTCTGTGGAGTTTCACAGATTTTCTTCGTCGTTCTTCGGTTATTTTATTTTCGATTGATAATGACAGCAAATTTTCTTTTCAAACAGTAAGATTTTATAGATTAGTCATTCCTTTTCCATGTTTGGCTTGCATTCTCCTCTGTTTACTTTAATCTCTCCTATTTTAATTCTTATACGTCGTTTGCAAGAAGGTTGGTGGCTGTTCAGATGCAGCCAGGCGAGTTCGACGTCGTCTCTCGTTTTCTTTTCTCCCGGCTGTGTTGTCCTTAATGCAATTCGAAGATTGTTTCGCCGTGTGCACGCCACTTTTGTCCGTCGTTTCCGCGGCCGGTACTCAAAGTGCCTCATTAAAATAAGATCCGTCGACGAGCGTACGCTCTATTTCCTTCGAACGGCTCGATCTTCGTTATTCCAGCTCGCGATTGGAACCTCGTTCGAGGGTGGTGGCACGCGGATAACGAGTTGTTTCTTGCATAAAAGGAGACCGGATAACTTCTCGATCCAGGCCATTTTATCGTCGAACCATGCAATTTTTCCGATTTTTCCTTCGTTGGATACTGTATTCCCCCCGTTCGATAATTCTTTCGTGATTTCCTTCGACAGGACTGCAGAAGAATGTCGTGGCGAGAGATAGAAAATGCATTGCGAAACTGTGGGACACGACGTCGTAAAGAATAGAGGACGTTGCTCCGCGTACCGCTATCTGACCTACATTCTCAACTTTGAACTTTCCGCGAGGGAAGTTTGCGTTTTCCTGTCGTTGATAAGACATCGACGGTATATTGCTGGGTGGATCGATTAAACGGGACGTTTAAGGGAGTTTCTCACTTTTGGGAATATTCTATAACGTCCTAAGTGCAACTAATATTGTTCCAACCGTAACATTTCATATTCTAAACCGTGGCTTTTAGTTTCAGAAATTTTCAATTTTCTCAATTGATGCAATTTTTAACACTTTGATATGCTAATTTTTAGCTAGTCATTCTTAAATCGATTTCTATCATGCTATAATTATTGTATCGATACGGTATGTCTGTAACAAAGACAATTTTCGCATCCTTTATCCGCGCCTTCCGCATCCGATCGCAAACGAAAGTAACCGCGGTTCCGATCTCCGCGTTTCTACACCTCGGAAAATCGATATAGCAATTAACCCCTTCGCGACCCCCGCCTTAGAATCTTCGGCTAAATATCCTGATGACGTGTAACGAGTTGGAGCGAGGTTGCTTATTGGCCATGCAAATTGGGTGATTTAAAAGGGTGTATGTGTATGCTTGGGTTCGTAAATGTTCGTGTTGCGTTCCTGTGCTGCAGTTTCTTTCGTTTTGGAGTTAAAAGATAAACGATCAAGTGCACTTCATTAAGTGCACTACTGCTTTTTTAATTAAAAAGGCAAATTCTATCCTATTATTCTCATCTACACAATTTTTTATTTTGGATGAACGGTATTAGGATTCCCCTTATTTTTTATAGTGAAATAATATAAATTTATAAATAATTAAAGTCAGAATCAAATTTACTGATATATCATGAAGAATGCTATGTTGAATGAAAAAGTAAGAAACCATACGCTAATTTTATCTAATATTTTATATCAACCATACTGAGATTCAGATCTTAATTTCTACCAGTTATAAGTAAAAAGAATCACATTTTAAAGGATCACCCGTTATATAGAATAGAACTATGGGCAGGTGTTACACCCTCCAGGTCAAGCAACATTGATACAATAAAAATCTCTGAACTATCATTCAGAATTTTGTAATCATGCAAACTAATAACTAATTGCAATTCAATCAACATTTCATAAATAATTGATCAATATTCTAACAATATTTGATAATAGAATAGAACTTAAATCATAAGAATTAACATTATATAAATGCTTTTTTAAAGGGAGAGAACATTCCATCTGATGTTAAGAACAAAGTTATCGATTACTGATCAATTTTTTAATTATGTTTAACATTATAATTAAAAAAGAAAAGGCACTTACAGGGGGGATTGCTTCGGTTCAGGGCCGTAAGGTCGCGCTAGACATCAGGCAGGCTGATATTGATATTCTGCTGGGGTTTCCACTCTCTGCTTCACTCTTATGGAGTTAATGGGAATTTTGGCGTGGTGAAGGCACATCCCTGATGGAACAAAGGTTTATGTCAAGAACTGTCAAAATATTGGAATATTGACTTAAATGTGCTTATAGTTTTTTACACAATGGACTTTTAGTAAATATAAAGCCACGTGAGTGCAGTCTTCTGTTATCATAATGAAGACCTCTTTTGTTTCTGTTGTTGAATATTTTAATGTTATGCATGGTTTTATGTAATTAATTAGCAATAAAAAGAATACATTTAAACAAGAGTCTATGATAGTAAAATTCATTTGTGATTGTTGATGTTACATCACAAGTATTAGCTGCACCTTTAGCTTGTCTCATTCTGGATTTTTATTATTTCTACATGAAATGTCTAGGATTTCATCCAAGGAATATTTTACTCCGACATTTATAATGTCATCCGTACAAAGGGCTTTTACTCAGAAATTGAGTAAACAGCATGCAGCTGACGTTAGACGTCAGATTGCTAGTTCTACCTCATATTCACGTGATCTGTCTAAGAGTGGCAGCTCATTCTCAGGCTTTTCTTCAACGGTACAACACAGCTTTTGAATAGTCTACATATCTTATAATCTCTAATTAAATGTTGAAAATACTTTTTTAAGATGTCACTATGTGAGGTACTGGAGCCATTAGACTATGAAGAATTCTTAGCTCAACATCAGTCTGTTCTTGATCGAGATCCTCTCAAATCAATATTAGACTTTCCACCTGAGGATGTTGAGCTAAAAGTAATAAACAGAAAAATTCGAACAGAAGAACCAATTGTTCCCCATGAATCCTTGTAAGAAGTGTTTCTTTCAAAAATTAAGAAACCCTACACTTTTATGTTCATGATAAAAACATTTGTTTAATTTTTAGGGATACAGTATCTCCTTATGTTAGAAGGTGTATCGACAGTTTTACTTCTGACTGGGTTATAGTTCACAGGAAGTACAAGCGTAGAGTGTCTCCTATTGCAAGAGACAGATTACTGCAGGATACCCCAAGACAAGATTTCGAGGTGCTTGAGTAAAAATATATTGAAATAAATATCTGAAGCATCAATTTAAAACAAATATAAAATAGGTGGATCAAGAGGACACAAATGATTCAGGATCACCGAATGAAGAAGAGGATCTATCAAGCTCTGGTGAAACACCAAGGGGATCTTGGGCAAGTTTGGACTTAAGACATTCTCAACACGATCCTCTTCTCCCGAGCTTGTTGGACCGGGTCTGTCCAGAAACTATCGATCAAATGAACGAACAGAAGAGATCGGAAGATCGTCAAGTGAGTGATAAATTGGCTAATAAATATGTACAATCAGGTTTTCATAATCCTCCTCTATTGATATTAATTGTAGGAAGCATTGTTTCCACTTTATGCACCTCCAGCTTCCCCAGATGATGAGTGGCAAGAGATTAGTCCAGCACCGGAGCCTTCCGAACCTTTTGCCCATAAGATTCTTGTTAAATGTCTTCAATTGAAATTAGAATTGGAAGTTGAACCGATTTTTGCGAGTCTAGCATTGTACGATGCCAAAGAAAAGAAGAAGGTATTTAATAATTGTGAATCTTACAAAATGTTCTGTTTCTTTGACTACAACATTGCAGGTATCCGAGAACTTTTACGTGGACATGAATTCAGAGGGTTTGAAAAGAATGCTTGGAAGTCACATTGCATACAGTGATGCCAGCACCTTGGCAAGAAGCTGTGTGATGAGTATCAATAAACCAAGTCCAGATTTGTTTTTAGTTGTCAGACTTGAGAAAGTATTGCAAGGTGATATATCAGAATGTGCTGAGCCATATTTGCGCGAGGATAAGAATAAAGATAAAGTAATCATACAGTCCATAAATAACCCCCTCCTAAATCACGATATGAAATAATTAACACAGGAACATTTAAATTAAAAATAGGTGAGAGCAGCAGCAACAGCTGCATGCGAGCGATTGGGTCGATATAGAATGCCATTTGCATGGACTGCCATCCACCTTTCTGGAGTAATAGGAGGTGGTGGAGACACGGATAGCACCGGGAGTGCTGGATCTTTGGACAGAAAATCAGGTGGATTGGAACAGTGGCGTAAAAAGGTAGAACCCCCAACTAGAAGGGGCTCACTAGAAAGAAGAAGTTCTGACAAAAGACGCAGTTGGTCACCTGATGACTTTGCTAATTGCCTGGACACATTTAGGTAAATGTTTCAATGATATTAATCATCTAGCAGATCTAAACCAATATTACTTGGACATTTCAGGCCTATCACGTTGACCGTGTCAAGTTTCTTTAAGCAAGAAAGTGAACGTCTAAGAGACGAAGATCTTTACAAGCTTTTAGTTGAACTACGAAGACCAGGTTCTAATTTGAAACGATTAAAATGTCTACCAGGTATTCTGAAATTGGACCTTAGTCCAAGACCAGAAGAATTGCCCAGGTGTTTAGACCCTGACCTCAGGAGATTGATACCGTACCCGGATGAGAAAAGTAGACCAGTTAAAGAGATATTAGAGTTTCCAAGTGAAGTTATTTCTCCGGATTTAACCTATCGTAATCTTCTTTATATCTATCCGAAGGTAAATTCATACTAATTATTTCTATAGGAAATGATATACTAATTGAAATAAAATTTTATTTGTTGCAGGAAGCAAATTTCAGCTCTAGAACTGGCTCTGCTCGAAACATCGCCGTGAGAATTCAACTCATGGGCGGTGAACAAGAAGCTGATGCTCTTACAGCTATTTTTGGAAGATCATCCTGCCCTGAAATGACTCACGAATGCTTTACTTCCGTATCCTATCACAACAAGAATCCAAACTTTTATGACGAAGTGAAAATTCGACTCCCTGCCGACCTGAGTGCAAAGCACCACTTATTATTCACGTTTTACCACATCAGTTGCCAAAAGAAAGCGGAGCAACCGAACGTGGAGACTGCTGTAGCATACACGGTAAAAATAATCAAACTCCAGATAAAGAATACACGAACCCAAAATAAATTTTTAATCCACATGTTCAGTGGTTACCACTTCTGAGAGATGGACACTTGCAATCTGGAGAGTTCAGTCTTCCAGCAATGCTGGATCCACCTCCACCAAATTACTCGTACATCGCCCCTGATGTTCTACTACCTGGTACAAGATGGGTAGACGCACACAGAGGCGTTTTTACAGTGATTTTGGAACCTGTCTCCAGTGTACATCCGCAAGATAAATACATAGATAGGTACAATTCTGATATACTTCGTTATTAAACATAAATAACACGAATTCATTTGAAAAAAAAAATTCTAGGTTCTTGTCATTGTGTGGTTACTTGGAAACTGGCCAAGTGCCTCCGCGAATTGGCGAGGCAGGAATGGAGTCAGAATTAAAATCAGCCCTGCTGGAATTGGCAAGGGCGTCACATTCTGCTTTAGTACGATCTCTACCTCAACTTCTGGATCAATTAATATCTCTGCTAGTACGGCCCCCGACATTACCGTCTCAACCACTGAACGTGGCGGCCACAATTTTCGAGGCTATAGGTCTGTTGGTACGAAACATTACCAATTTGCCAGATGGCCAATTGGACGCCCACGGAAGACACGCGCTTTTGGCTACATACGTCGCTTATCAGTGCTCCTTGCCAAGGATGACACACACCCAGGGCATCGTCCGAGCTCAGAGCAACCCTGATCTACCTCTGGAGGACTTAGAGATGGAAGTGCACTCCAGAGGACTGGATCGAACCGCGTCGATGCGTCAGGAATCACCCTCGATAAACAATCAACCAACGAGGAGACTTCTGCACGAAGAGTTAGCTTTGCATTGGGTCGTGTCTACGGGCCAGGCACGTGAATTGGCAGTCACGTACTCTTGGTTCTTCTTGGAATTGATAGTTCGTTCCATGGTAGTGACGTTGGCAGAAATGGACATACTGGAGGCTCCACGTAAATCCAGATTCTCTCCTCAATTCTGCGACGACGTGGCTACACTCACAGCCGCGTTAACGTCCGAGGTGATATCCCGTTGTGGAAAGGAGAACAGGGTACCCAACAATCTGATATCGAGTCTCGGTAACTTCCTCTCTGATTTGCTGTCAGTGATGGACAGAGGATTCGTCTTGTCCTTGATCAGAGCTGCATGTTGCTCTCTATCGGATGCATCTATGCACATCCCTGATTCGGCTGCCCTTTTCGCACTGAAACTCGATCTTGTGCGAACGGTATGCTCCCATGAACACTACGTGGCGTTGAATCTTCCCTTTGGGACTGGATATACATCAGGATCGGCGCCCGCATCGCCTAGTCCATCAACGGGGAGCTCAGGTAGCTTGATATCCACTTTGGTACCTGGAGACCGAGCCAGATTCTCGGAACTCAGTCAGGAATTTCGGCAGCAACACTTCTTGGTGGGCATCGTCCTATCAGATTTGTCCAACACTTTGGAAATACCCAATCCTATGCTTCAAAACAAAGCTATCGGGACCGTTCGCCATCTTATGGCCTACCATGACGCGGATTCGAGGTATTCCGACCCCTCTGCGAAAGCTAGAGTCGCTGCACTGTATTTGCCTCTTTTAAATATCATAATGGATGCTCTTCCACAACTCTATCACTGGGATTCCAAGGACAAGAGCGTGTACCCTGATGAATCTGGGTCCATCACCCAGTCTGTAGCCCTGGCTATATCGGGAAGAGTTTCTGCGGACACTGCAGGCACCCAGTGCAGAGTTTCCTTAAGTTCTGAGGCTACGCGACACTTATTGATGTGCGTTCTATGGGTACTGAAGGGTTTGGAACAGTCCGCGTTAGTGCAATGGTGTGCAGAATTAAGTTCTAGGCGTATATTATGCCTTCTTCAAGTCCTGAATATTGCTACGGCAGCCTTTGAGTATAAGGGTAAGAAAGCACTGAAGAGACTACCGCCACAGGCAGCAGCCACCAGTGATATTCGATCCAGACTGGAGGATGTGATTCTCGGTCAAGGAAGTGCCAGAAGTGAAATGATGTTACGAAGAAAGGAGAGAATGAGTGGGGACAAATTGAGATGGCGTAAAGATCAAATGCCTTATAGGTAGACTACTCCATATTTGTAAAAATTTCAAACTTTTATCAAATTTCTAATTGATTTCTATTCTTGAAGATCGTGCGAACAGTCAGAAGGGAGAGCAGTGGAACAAGATGCTCATATAGAAGGTGCCTTAGCAGCTGAAGCCTCCCTTGTGGTCTTAGATACTTTAGAAACAGTCGTTCAGGCTGATGGTGGAGGAGGTAAGCAAAGAACAAGTTTTGTTCAAAATGTCTGATACTTATGAAACTTTGAAATTATGCAGGTGCAGTTGTAGGAGCAGTGTTGAAAGTACTTTTAAGGGCTTTGGCCAGAAATCAAAGTACATCTGTATTGCAACACATGTTCAACACGCAACGTGCTTTGGTGTTCAAATACCATAGTGCTCTGTTTGATGAAGAAAGCGAAAGATGCGGTGATTTATGTTTAACGTTACTAACTAGGTGTAGTTCTCCCTTAAGTGCTGTTCGCAGCCATGCTGCTGCCAGTCTTTATCTACTGATGCGTCAGAACTTCGAGATCGGTAATGTAAGTACTCCAAAAATATTTGTAAGACTAATTTGAATGTAACAAATAACGCAATGATTCTAGAATTTCGCACGAGTTAAGATGCAAGTCACAACATCTCTCTCAGCTCTCGTTGGAAGAGGAAGAGCTCCTAGCGAAGGAGCACTTAGAAGAGCATTAAAGACAGTGCTAGTGTATGCTGAGAGAGACACAGAATTGGCAGACACAAGTTTTCCAGAACAAGTAAAAGACCTATTATTCAATCTGCATATGATACTATCTGACACTGTTAAAATGAAAGAATTCCAAGAGGATCCAGAAATGCTTTTAGATCTCATGTACAGGTAAATAATAGAAGAATATTAATCAACTAAGAAGATCAATTAAATTCAACATTAAACATTCATCTCACAGAATTGCAAAGGGATATCAGGGTTCACCAGATCTTAGGCTTACATGGCTAGCAAACATGGCTCAACAACACATGGAAAGAAAAAACCATACAGAAGCTGCTATGTGTTTGGTACATAGTGCTGCTTTAGTAGCAGAATATTTACACCTCCTGGAACCAGGTGGTGGTGGAAGACCAGTTGGAGCTGTTGCTTTAGCTCCTGTTACTCCAAATGCTTTGGAGGAAAGTGCTGTTGGCGATGATGTGTTAGCAAGAAGAGAAGAAGGTCTATGTTTGGGTCCAGATTTTTCAGAAAGTGGCTTAGCAGGTTTATTGGAACATGCTGCCAGTTCTTTCCATGCAGCTGGAATGTACGAAGCTATTCCTGATGTGTACAGAGTATTGCTTCCAATTGCAGAAGCTGCTCATGATTACAAAAAATTGGCTAACATCCATGGGTACGTTTCATTTGACTCTTCAAAATTTATATAACTGATATTAATGTGTTTCTTGTTTTCTATTGTAGGAAACTTCATGAAGCATACACACGAGTGGAGCAATTAGCAGGGAAACGAGTATTCGGTACATATTTCAGAGTTGGTTTCTATGGAGGACGATTTGGCGATCTTGCTGGCGAGGAATTTGTTTATAAAGAGCCTACTCTAACGAAATTACCAGAGATATTTTCGAGACTTGAGAATTTTTATGCTGAAAGATTCGGTGCCGAGAACATTGTGATAATAAAAGACTCGAATCCTGTAGACCCTAGTAAATTAGAACCAGATAAAGCCTATGTTCAAATTACTTATGTAGAACCATATTTTGAGCCACATGAACTCAGGCACAGACCAACTATTTTTCATAGGAATTTTAATATCAGTAAGTAACCACTTGAGTGAATAATATTGAAATATTCTATGTTTTTCTATTACCATTTTTAACTTTATTTAGAGAGATTTGTGTATGCAACACCATTCACACCTGGAGGTAAAGCTCATGGGGAGCTGAGAGAACAATGTAAACGTAAAACAATATTAACAGTAGCTACACATTTCCCTTATCTGAAAACAAGAATTCGGGTGGTGGCTAGAAAGCAAATAGTTCTAAGTCCAATTGAAGTTGCAATTGAAGATATACAAAAGAAAACTGCAGAAGTAGGTGTAATTTAAAAGTTAAAGAATTTCTTTTTTATATTTTTGTTATAATCATTTATAAATCTTGCTAGGTTGCTGCAGCTACAGCTCAAGAACCACCTGATGCAAAAATACTGCAAATGGTTTTACAAGGATGCATTGGAACAACTGTGAATCAAGGACCAGCAGAAGTTGCAGTTGTATTTCTCTCTGGATTAAGAGAACAAAATGCACAGCCTACTAGATTGCAACATAAACTGCGTTTATGTTTCAAAGATTTTTCAAAAAAGTGTCTGGATGCTTTGAGAAGAAACAAGAACCTAATTGGCCCAGATCAGAGAGACTATCAAAGAGAATTGGAAAGGAACTACCAAAGATTAACTGAGAGACTTACTCCTCTTATTGCATGGAGGTATGTGAGATCTGATTAAAATTAATCTATTTTACTTCAGTATTTTTGTTATAAAACTTTCTACATTATTACACAGTGGACCCCCATTAGGAAGCCAACAAAATATGCCATCAATATCACCACGCTGGTAAAATGACTGAAATTTCTGCTATTTAAAAGTTACCAAAGATCACTGATTGAGTGTTTCCATTACCAGCATATACTTTTTATAATATTGAAGTATAATATATATATATATATAAACATTATATTTATATTTATCCATTTTTTCATAGCAATAGAGCATTTTTATGTACTGATATATATAATGTCTGACTTAGATAATTTAACAGAATGCTATATCAGTACGTGAAGAAAGACTTGAGTATTGATTAAGAAAAATTCCAACTAGTCCTTTAATTGAAAAAAGACAATTTGTTGCAAAAAGATTCTTCAGTAATTGATGAAATAACAGTATTATTTCATACGAGAAAAGATCTATGAAAAAGTGTATTCGAATGAAAGTTTCGTTGACCATAGTTTTTATATGCTTTTGATTAAACTTCATATAACTTGTGCAAGACTTAACATAGTTAGGTAAAAATGTCAATATTAAAATGATGACACTAATTTTTCATATAACTGCCTCTTTAATAATTGTGTAGATAAGTATTATTTTCAATTACCTATTATAACTTATACGAAACACAAATTCAAGCTGTGTCTATATTTTGCATTACAATGCACAATATACAGCCTAAATATATCAAAGTTAAATGTCTATTTATGTATCTAGCAGTTAAGGAAGCTGTGATTTTTCAATCAAATAGTAATTTATATGAATATTTGAACGCTGTCAATCAATTATTTAGTAAGTTCAACAGTATAACTGGCAAATGTACTTTCTATAATACCAAACATATTATTCATATATTTTTGAACATTCTTGATTAATTTTTATGCTTCTAGTCGAAAATATAAACATATTTAATATTCAACAATGAGTGGAAGACATTAAATCACACTTGAAGCTTACTGATACTTTATACACGTATATTGGTAGCATAGACTTCTTTACATGATTATTGCAAATATCAATTAAACAATAAACAATTGATGCAGAATAAGTATTTGCAAGAAATAAAACAATTATTGTATTAGGAAAGCTATTCAAAACTTTTGGAAATATAATAAATTTATATTTTAGTGAACTGTGGCTTACGGTAGCGATACCCCATTACATTTATACGAGATAATTTAACAGAATTGCCGTGAATGTAAACTTTTTGTAACTCACGAAATAATCGAAATACATGTCCATTTTGTACTTCGCTATTTTTGTACTTTTTCTATTTAATTCATGCAAAAATAAGGAAAATATAGGACTCACCAAGCCGTTTCACCTGCACTGTCAAAGCCTGACGCTTCACCACGCGGGTAATAAAAATGGCGCGACAAATTTGAATCAATTGGAGAACGCGTCAATTTCTAATATGTGGAAAAAATCAATAAAAAGTTGTTAATAATTTGTTTTATTACAAAATATGATTAATATCATATAAAAACGAATCAAATAATATAAAAAATTGTTTATAGGCGAGAAACATCTAATGTCAACATAAAAAATATTTAAATATTAAAAAGATTAATACTGCCTTGGAAGAAAAACTAAATAATAATTATGATATTATGTTTAATTATTTTCTATTGCTCTTTAATAACGCACAGGATTAACTCTTAGTTGTCTGATTTTTGCAATTTTAAAACAAATAAATAAAATACAAAAATTTCATAAAGGGTTCACGATCTCACTAACCGTAATATGCAATTATAAATGCTTGTTAAAGATGTTCGTTAGAGTAGCTTTTCTCTTTTTTGTATTTAGTTTCGTGAAACTCGTTACCCGCCAGCAAACAAATGAAAAGCGAGGAAGAGGGGAGAAGTTCGTTTTTGGTATTTCGGATTACTTGTTGATCAACGAACGTTTACACGTGCAAGGTTTTTTACATTCATCAAAGGCAACGTTCATTATCGAAGTTTGATATTCTTCTTTAGCCAGTTATATTCGAAACGAACCCGTTACTCTAACTTGAACGGTCGAATCCGATTTTCGGCTTAATCCCTTTGTACGGAACGAAAGGTTTGCGCGTAGATAAAGATATATCGCGAGTTCAAAGGGGTACTTAATTAACGCACACGATGCGAATATTGATAATCGCGTATGACGGTGAAACACTTTGTATCAATTTCAACATGGCCCCCATATTTCCCAATTTCAATTGGAATTAGTTAACATTTCCACGCTCCTGTTACAATTCACAAGAGTGATATTAAATTAACTTTGATTTTGTATTTTAAATAGAGGAAATTACAAAGAGAAACTATTTCTCCGATAAATTTCACAATAATTAAGTATTCAATTTCATCACTGCTACCTATCAATTTTAACCAAAATCAGTAATAATAGCACTTTTACGAATACGTAAAATTCTTAAGAAATAATAATTAAATAAATTCAATCATTGCTATATTTTATAAATTCCCACTAAAATTAATATTGGTCGCAAAGTTATGACTCTACTATTCTTAATCGTACGCAACATCCCTAACAGGAGGGTGTATAAAAGCAGGCAAGAGATACCGGCGTGGATGATTTCGGAAAAATAATATTCCTCGAGCAACCCCTGCGGAATGTAGTCGCAGCTCTAAATAGCGTGTCGCCGTGTCCTCGGTCACTAATACGTCTAATCTGTCCCGAAATGAAATACTTGTAATTCTTTCGACGGTATCCCCTCTATTTGGTACACAACGCGACGTGTTCAAGTGGCTGGAAACACTTGACCCCGATCGCATAGGGGAGTTGTTTACAACAGGGGGGGATTACGTTCGGGAACAAAGTGACCGTCGAAGATACGATCGTTCTTCCCTTTAAATCGGCCACGGTAACGCGTTTTATTGTGATCTTTGATCGGGGACCACCCTCGATGCGAGCAACAGACGCTTAATGAATCCAACGCGAAATTCCTGATGCTTAACTTGACTCGTTAACGCGTCGATCGGCAGAAGCGTTATGTTTGATCTGTTTAAGTTCTGTGTATCGTGAATAACGCTCTATAAAGTGAAATTCCTCGCGTGTAATGGATGGCTACGAGGATTGAGAGAATATACAAAGGAATATTTATTTAAACTCCTGTTTGCCTAATTTTCATAGGGGTGGTTTTTGCTGCACAAGAAAAATTGTGTAACTTTTCTTGAAAAATTTGCAAACGAAAGAATGCTATTATGATAATCGTTTTATCTTAATTCAATCGTTTTAACGAGGCAACCCTTTCAACCCCTGTAACCTCATCGTTATCGTTAATTACACGCAGGAGTGGTACACGTGTTTTTCGAGAAAAAAGCAAAGGATCCAACAACGTTACAGAACAATATGGCCCGTGTCGTTTCTCCCTCGTCGCTTTTTGATTCACCTACGTGCCTTCGGGATCCCTCCGGTTCTCCAGTCGAAGGTGGTGGGGTCGAAGCGGAAAGAGCGGCAGGGAGTGCTGACTTTTATTACCCCGTCTGATGTTATGAATGCGAGCTGTTCGCAACCCCTCCGCTTACATCCCCTTTCTACCCGGGTGCAGCAAAGCGGTTATGCTTTTTACGACATGTATATTCGCGGTTGCGATTAGCGACAGCTACGAACCATCATCGAGGAACTTTCATACAAAGTTGCAACTGGGATTGCAATAAAACAATTCAGTCGAATTTCTTCCTCTGCAATTTCACTCGAAAAGGGGAAGGTTTTTTTTTCAATTCTGCAGAGCTTATTATTCTTCGATTTTTCAGAGGGAAAAAGAAAACTTTCTACAGGCGAAACCAGTGAATTTTCTAAAGTCTCCTTGTAATTCATTTCTTTTTATATTATTTTTTATAATTGAATCTTTTGCCATACAAAATATGACAAGTTGCTCGTTCATAGCCGACACTAGCTACCTGAATGAGATTGCATCGTTATTGAAGCTCCTCGCGCAACAACCGCCGGTCCCGATGATCGAAGTTATGATGTATGGTGTTGGTTTCAGAGATGCAGGTGCAGTCGTGTACGACGACTAATCGTGACGAAAAATATTTGTACGATTCTCGTCCCTTAATAACGGGAGCATCGGTCATGCTGTTCGCTGACGCGGACAACGAATCTCGGAAGAATATTGCAATCCGTCGCTTCGTCGTACGATAAATTAAACGGACACCACTCGTTATCGCGTCCGCAACGTTAATTGGACCCCTTGCAACTCTGTATCGCCTCTTCTGAATCTTATATTTCAATAATTTTGCGGTGTCTTTGACTCAACTCTGATGCTTCTTCATAAATTTCAAGCTGTTCTATTGTTATTAAATTTGAAATTACCAAACTCTTTTTTTCTATACTTTACAAATTTTTATCCAAAACGATAATTTAATGTTTTGTACACAAAGCATAGACTTGTCTAGCTGATAGCTTATGCCGATTATAGATTCAGTGATGATCCGATATGAATCTAACTCGGCTGGTTGGCATGTTCGAGCAGAGGAATGTTCTTTGATCGTGCCGACATATTCCGCGATCACGGCCTCCTACGCATCGGTGCAATTATTCCCTTTGGTCGTCGAAAAATCCGTAATAAACGAAATATTGGGGAACACATTTCTTACGATATTACCTCCACTATACAAAAGAATCAAAGTATTTATATTTCTCAGGGGGATGGAGAAAAGAGATTTTGTCAGATATTACGAACCATAATTTATACCATCAAAATTGTAACAGTAAATTAAAATAATGGTTTGAAAAGCAATCACCTATCAAAGGGTATTAAAACGTGCACAATCTATTGGTATCCTCGATACGAAGAATAAACGAATAGAAAAAAATCATAACCAGGTCTGCTCAGTGTGATTCGTCGGTATCTACAGAGGGTGTCTTGTTTAAATCAATCTATAAAAATATCCTAAGCAATACTATCGATGCTACTCGAAGAAATATTTTTATTACTACGAAATTATGAAAGTACCCTTTTTACAGCTGCTGTTCGAAAGAACAATCCCTTTGTTTCCTATCGATAATTTCGAAGATTTAAATAGACCACCCTGTACGCACCGTCAGAGAGGAAAGAGGCGAGGGTCGTCGGGGCTAATTGAAATCGGAGGAAACCGCTCGTGACGTTTCCGGCCGCGACGAAGCGGCAACACAAATTTTATTACGGCGCGCCTCTATCCACTTCGTTAGATACCACTTTGTTTATCATTCGCGAATATTAAAATCGTCTCGGTGTGGCGCGTGCGTGTGCTCCACCCTCCGCCTACCCCAACCCCTCGCGATTTCCATAAATCCAACGGTACCGCGTTGAGCTCCATTTTTGTTTTTTCCCTCTCGTTATCTTTTTCGACGATGCTCGGGAACCGCGGATAGATTCGAGATTAAAATCCGTGCCTGCAAGGCATCGCTCGTTTTCATCAACCGTACGAAATTATTACACGGCATTTTTTCGCTAATTGCCGGTCCTCCAGCGTGGACGATTGAAACCGGGCCGCCGGAGATCGATGTAACCCCAGCGAAATTATGTCAAAGCGTACGCGTTATTAAACGCGTTTTTAAACGTGACGACAAACGGGGAACGGATCGATCATGGGATATTCGTAATTTCATGTATTCTTTACCCTTCCATTAACCAGCCACTAATCGCCAATCATTAAATACCACCCTCTTAATATACAGGAATCGCAGTTCTCCAAGAAAAATCCAGCAAAATCCTCCAAGATTCCCTATTCGCATAAACAGTCAGCTGAAAGGATTTACGAGTCTCGAAATTCTATATGGGGTAGGACAAAACTCAAGTACCGTGGAATAAAAAAGCCCCATAGGAAGATTGTAAACGCGTACGTGTGCGCGTTCACGGGAAAGAAAGAGAAATTCCGTCGGTAAGCAGAGTCAGAAGGTTGCCGCGAGCAACGAAGAAAGATAAACGAGCGAACGGAAAGAGAATCGAGGGTAGAAGAGGGAAGGAGACAGTTTACTGGGGTAGGATGAGACCCCACAAAGGCAGTGGGGCTCTTTTGATTCGCGAGCTAATTGGAATGCCGCGGATGCCAACGACGATGGAACCGGGGGTTGGGTTATCCCCTCGCTAAGGGTGGGTGGGGGGGGGGACCTCCACCGGGGGGTCCTTGGAAGTTCCGGTGTAACCCAGGGATAGGCGGAGCTTACATCTCCCGCTGTGGGGGTGTAGCTCGAGATATCGAGGCTTATCACCTCCGCTCTTTTCCTCTTCTGCACGAATTTCATCCGCGAACAGATTTCTTCCATGAACAAACCCTCGGTTGGCCAGGAAAATGGACCTACGTCGGACGTCTTGCCGGTGTATTTCTTTCACGAGTCCTCTGAATGATTTCTTAATTCCACGAATTGTATTTTATTTATTTCAAACTGATTTGGAGTATGCACAGAAAGTCTATATTGTTAATTAACTACGAATGTATATTTTTCTTCAGGGTTGATAATAAAGGAGTAGGAGTTATTTTATTTTGCAAGGAATTAGAAATTATTTGCTCTAACCAGTTCCCTTGTTCTAACACGAATCTTCCAAGGGATGAAGCTCGTTTCACGATAACAGGATTACATTGCGTCGCATCATCAAATTAATTACCGATTCACCATAATACCTGCCAGTTAACTTTACCTGTCTATTACCGGAGCGCTACACGACGAATCCAGCGGATGTAATCGACGAATCGAAGGCATTTACGTAAACAACGACTCTATTAACGCGATTACATCTAATAGAGGCAACGTCGAGTAGAACAAGGCCCGTGTTCGACGACAGATTAGACGTAGAATCATCGCGTTTCCGATCGATATCCCCGATGCTTTCGCTTGATAGCGAAGTCCGTACGATTCTCCATCGAAGCTTTGCTTTCTTTGTACCCTTTTGACATGGGTCGACGGCTAATTTATCACCGCGACAAAAGGGCTCCGCGTAACGAGCGAATATTAGTTACCAACGTCATCCGCGTCAGATTTTTCCGTCGCGTTGCTCGACGAATCCTTGCTGAACTCTGCGACCACTGCAATTTTTCTTGGTTCCTTTGACTCTGATTCAAAGATTCGACTAATAGAATTCGACTCTGTTAAGTTTAGATAGTAAAACAATTTCCTTTGAAAGGGGTGGTAAAGCTTTGAGACGTAAATAAAGCATTCACGATGAAAAGGGTTAAAAATTTTCCACAGATCTCTGTTTTTTCTAATCTTGCCATTTTTCGTTTACGTTTTGCAATAAACTTTGCTTCCCAATTTTCCTGTAATTAAAATACAGCCAGCGCGTTTTTGGTAAAGGTTCTCCACCCCGTCGCGATAAATAATATCCGCTTTCGACGCTCCGATATAATAAAGATATTAAGTTTAATTGAACAAAGCGTTGCCTTCCGAGAGAACGACAGAGTTTCTGCTCGTTATTAATATTTAAACAAAAGCTCCGACGAAAGCCGCTGCCTTTGTGGCCGGACAAAAAGCTACCCCCTACCCTCGACTCGTGGCCAGGCAAATAAAATCCTGGAAAGAGCGTAAGACACGGCATTAATTAATTAGTGCCGATTGCGAGAGACCAGGGGGATACGGGCCTTGGGTTTCACCCTTGAACGAAAAACAATGTTGCAATATTGCTTTCTTCTTTGCTTGAAAATTCAAGTGACAATACGGCTACCGTTCACTCGATATCGCGTGCTCGATCGTCAAATTCGAACTTCCGATCACGCGATACCGCGTGCTAGATCATATTCAAGGAACATCGAAAGGACCAAAGGTGAGAAGATATTCGAGGACACCTGCGTACAGATTCGATGATTTATTCTCACATGAATCATATCCAGTGTGTGATCACTTATATACAATCGATTTGGTGCGGGGTTAAGAAACGATTCCTTAGATCGAAGATCGTCAAACCGAAGACGAGAAGCGAAGGGACACGTTGACTCTAATCGATTCAGCTTTTCTTTATGTACAATCTGTTCTACTAGCATCGAGTGTTATTGACAACTACACGGCTCGAGGACAGTTACAAAAATATATATTACAGAACCGGTAGGAGGGAAACGATCGAGTTAACAGGGATTATTAAATTTTCGATCTTTCAACCCCTACGATCGAGTCTCCCAGGGTGGGACACGATCCAAGGGTGCTTTCTACGTATTCAATTTCAAACAGACATTATTAAACAGCGATACGAAACGAGAAGGACGAAAATTGTCGCGAAAATCTCTGAAAAATTAAGGATAGATTCTTCGAATCCCTGAAATGTCACCAAAAATGTTCAGTTTTCTTTGCGACGCATCATTTTGTCGAATAAGCCACAGTTTTTTCAGGATCTTGATTAGGATGTTTCTTTGGTGTCATCAAGCTTTCTTCTAGTTTATTGAACAAACTAGAGGAGGGTGTTAATCAACGTATCGAGGGGATACTCGCGCGGTGCCTTGCAGCACGCGCTTCAGCTTCTCGTGGTAAGCTTCAGCGGCTTTCCTCTGGTATCTCGACGAGTATCTTGAATATTCGTTGGAAAGCTTGTCCATCTGGCCTTGCTCCGGAACATCGTAAACCGTCGGCGACTTCGAGTCACGGGATTTCCGGGATTTCGTTGAATAAAGAGGCGAGAGGGTGTCGGTGGTGTCTTTCGCGTTGTGCCTCAGGTTGCAGCGGCCACAGAACATTTGTTCGTGGGTTTCAGGCTCGTCGCCTGGAAAAATGATGAAAATTGTCCGGTCACTGATAAATCGATCCTTGATGATGAATTCTGTATACTTGAATGTCGTCTAATAAAATAGATTACTGAAATCTTGGATCAAAATTTGTTAAGAAGTAATTTTTTAAAATATTCAATTCCCTAAGATATACAATTTAATTAGTACAGCTGACAAATTTACCGATTGGTCCTTTGGTAGGGGAATTCGTCCGATCATCGTATCTACATCCATTTTTCGATAGCAATTCGTTCTTCCGGTTCGACAGATTGCCACAGCGATTGCATCTTCTCGTTCTTCTATACTCTGATTCTATCAATTGATCCATGTTCGGTTTCGTCCGAGCTCGTCGAGGTGACTGAATCGGTATTGAATTGTCATCGTATCGATCAGACTTGTTTTGAGGCCATTGATGATAGTCCGCTGGCGATCGCCTTGTTGGACTCTTCAGGGACGTTAGGACGAATTCTTCATCTGATAAGGGCTCGGATATCTCGTGCTCAGCCGCGTTGTGATAGTACCTGATAAATATGGGGATGGGGGATGATTGTATGAAATATTGCAAAACAAATTGAACCACATTTCATTAATTTTTAAATTGCCAACTAAAAAATGTTTACACTATTTCAATTTAGCACCTTAATTATTAATTTTCAAACATGCATTTTACCTGGGAGATGATGCATGCCCTGCCAAAGCTAGATCCACATGTTGCTGGCAACGAAATCTTCGTGGTTCTTGATCGATGCTCCTCCATCGTTGTTTCAACAACGCATCCTTTTTACTTACTCTTTGACCTCTATGAGTCTGCTGAGATGTTAGAAATTCTTCTTCCGTCTCGTCGTCTCCCTCCTGACCCTCGTAATCCTTATCTAAGAATTCAGCTGCCTCCTCGTGTTCCTCCTCTGTCGCAGCAAAAAGTATTATAGATTTGCATGTTCAAACCCACCCCAGAAATCTTAACAATTTTCTACCTTCTTCCTCAGCATCCTCCTCAGCATTGTCCTCCGTGAAGTTCTCCGATTCCTCGTTGATGTACTTCAGCTTCTCGTTGTCACCCAGCTCGTCGTCGTAATGAGTCTTCCTGGTCGGCGAAAAGGACGAAGGATAATGTTTATCCCTGGTAGGCTTGCAGTGACCCTGCGTGACATGATGGATCAGTTCGGGGCTGTGAAGAGAGGTGCACTTCGAGTGCGTCGGACTGGAACACACGTGGCTCCTCTGCGGTTTGTAAGTAGTCGAAGAAGAATAGTAGCTGGCTACAGCTTCCGGGTTCCTTCAGGATATTCAAATTCATCGTTAGACAAAAATAATAATTCTTCTTCTAAGTGCACTTCGTTTACCCACCTACTGTTTCTACCAACTGGAAAGGACTGACTCCTCTTCTGCTGGTATTTCCAGTAGGAATCAGGCGAATCCTTAGTCTCAGAGAACGAGCGTGGCATGTACTTTGACTTATAATTCTCCACCTGTTTCATCCTTGCGATTTCGTCGTTCACCATTCAAAAAATAATCGTCCAATAATCGTCTGTTCACCTTGCTACACTTAATCAACAATTTACATGTTCCAATTAGCCTCCTCCCTCCTACTCCATCATCGTTCGACGATGCACTTAATCGAAGATCAGGGTCGTCGATTTGAAATTGTGTCACGCGAATCAAGTCCTTAAGCAATGACTCAAAATCTATCAAAGTATCTTCACTTATACCTCGAGATCAATATCTACAACCTCCTTCACCAGTTAGATCAGTGTCCTTCGAGTCCCAAATCCTCTTCTTCGAACACCATGTTCCACTATAGATAGATTTGATGAAAATGAAAGGACGAAGGTAAAGGAATAGAAGAAAGGGTGCTTCGGGAAGGTCAGAGTGCGTTCATTCTGCTCGAGCTAATCAATAGTCCTTCGATCAGTCCTTGCTCGAGCCGATGATCGTTTCTAGGATCGTGCAACGAAAGAAACAACACGTAGGGGCAAACGAGGAAACGAATTGGTGCTTCTTGATCGAGGAACACGGTTGCTTTTCACCATTTGTCGGTCTCGTTGCTGTCCTCGTGTTCTAACGACGAGTTCAACGTACGCTGGAACTCGTGCACTCTTTGGCTCTGTTGCTCGTGGTGATGTTTCCGCCACTTGATTCGTCGATTCTGGAACCAGACCTTCACCTGGGCCTCGGTCAACCTGAGCGCGTGTGCCAGGTACAGTCTTTCGGGGCCCACCATGTACTGTTGACGAGCAAACTCGCCTTCTAATCGCTCCAACTGCTCGGCTGTGAAGATGGTACGCACCCTCTTCAGCTTCCCGCCGCCGCTGGTACACGAGCTCGAACCTCCGTTCTTCGCGCCGCCTTCTTGACCTGTAGGTACAAATCGTCGCTATGGAAGGGTTCGTTTTTTACTAATAACAATATGAAAATATGCCTATAAAATTGATTAGTTTAAATAGGTTAGAGAAATGTCAGAAAGTAGTGTATCTTCGAATTTTATACCTTGAAATTGTATCAACAGAAACTTTTATAACGTTAATTCAATTATGATATTATTAACAATTTGTGATATTACTCAGCCCTTACCGAGATTAACAAAAATTTTGCAAACTGTGTCGATGATCGATAGAAAAATTTGTCGCATTTGTTTCCAATAGAAACTTGTCTGAAGTTCGACACTTTTGAATTTTAACCTTCTGATTTATTGTATTTTCTAAATATGAAATCCTTTCATTCAAAAATTAGATTAACATCCCTCCATATGTTTTGTAACTTTAAGTCAACGAAATAAATCTGAATAAAAACGATCCAAATACCCTGGTGTTTCCTGTACTGCTGTTGCTGACTCCGTTTCTCCCTGGGGTTGTTCCTCAATCCAAGGATCGCGTCTATGGTGAACGACTTGGCCTGTTGTTGTTGCTGTTGTTGCGAGTGTTGCATCTGCGTGATGGAATGCGGATGCGACAATTGCGTGGACAGATTCTGTGCGGAGAGATCGGTACCCAGAAGATGCGACCGTCTCATCCGTTCCAGAGCGATAGCCTCTAAATCCTGATTCCTAGGCTGCATCTGAATATTCTTCAGCTCGTTGTGCTCTAAAATCGGAGGGTTCTCCAACAACCCAGCTCCTCCGCGAAGTCTTTCCAACGCAAAGTTACCAATATGACCGTCTCTCATCCTGTCCAAAGACAGATTGAACTCCTTCATCCGATCAAGACTATAATTCTTCAGCAAACTAAAATCCTTGATGTCCTTCTCGGAAACGGTGAAATTCAAGTCCTTGCCGTACCTGTCCAAGGACAGAGCAGCATGAGCGTTTTTGTGTCTGTTCTCTCGAAGGTTGAACAACAGATCCTTGGCCGTCGGGTTCTTCGTCCTGCAGAGACTGGCAGCTTCCATCGATTCGTCGTTTTCGTTTGATCTATCCAAAGGATACGCTTCGTTCAAGGTGCTGGCGATGTAGCCGAAGTCCTTTCCCTTGTTCAGTGTCATAGGTAGGTTCCTGTTGGCGTTCTCGAACTCTTCGAAACGGATGGAGGTCCTGCCAGGTTCTAATCGAAGATGGAAATCCTTCGGTTCCAGCTGAGGATCCTCTTTGCATTTATCCACGGATAGATTCAACTCTTTGATACGTTCGTAGTCTTGAAATGCTCTTAATTGAGTTTCCGAGTGGCTACTCTCGCTCCTGCAGTCCGACAGCTCCTCCATGGCCAGTCGTCCCGACGGATCGCTCGGTTCCATAGCGGTCCAGCGCGATTCTACGTGAAACAGTTTCTCACTTCAGGAAAATTCAATGTCTATGATCGAGGAACACGAATTCAGAATACAAGGTTCACTGTTTCGTTGAATAAAACACTGCGCGAGTAGTGCACCATCATCAGAGTCAGTGTCGAATCCCTCGTCCGAGGTGACACGATTACAAGCAGTCACTGGGGGGGTCGCGATGAAGCTGTTCCACCGAACCACAGCTCGCTCACTGACATCACGGAAACGAGTCGACACTCGGCGAGCTTTCACAGGTGCAAAACACGAGGAATCGAACTGGAACGAGTACTAGGACGGAGGGCTGAAAGGATGGCGGAACCGCGCTGGCGCTGCACAGCGTCCCAGGATAATGATGTCAGGCACGAGGATCACCGCTATCAGAGAGGGTTGGCCAGCAGGACTAAGGATATCCGGCTAATGATCCCGTACGTGACGAGGGGGGTATTCACCCGGCAGTACAGCCGTCCCCCCCTGCTGCCCCCTCTGCACCCGTTCGCCACTATGCCGGCAATCAGTCCGACGTTATGCTTCACCTCCGCAACCCCCAAATGGACCGCAGAATACCCCCTCGCCGCGGTCAATATTTTTTCGTTCGACGAAGGAAGCCGTCGGCGCGGCGGCCAGGTGAAATCTGGTTGGTCGAAACCTGCCATCACCCCGCGGTCAGGACACGCCCACCTCGAGCCTCGTGGGGGGTTATTTGCGGGGAGTCTGTTACTTTTTTTCCACCCTCCACCCTCGAACCATCCAGCCACGAGCCAGCAGCTCTCAAGGCCTCCGTTCCTTCTTCCCTGCTGTTGCTACTGTTCTAGGCCTTCCGTTTCCAACTCCGCGTCTCTCCCGCCTCCCCTAACCCCATTAATAAGCTTTCTCCCCGGATACAAGCTCACCCCTCCACACGCCGGTTCACAAACGCGTTTAGTATACAGAGTGGTGGGTGTTGGTGCAGCCATACATCGACAAGAAACGGAGGTGTCTCGCGCGTTCTCCTTGGCTCGATTGTCTGCGTTCGTCGACGATGTCATCCAACGTCTCTAAGACGTTCCGGTAATTAGGTGGTTGCGTTCTAATGATGATGAGGTCGTTTAATTTTGTCCTGGCGATCTTTCTTGCGACGGCACCGATTGAGACACCAACGCGCTCCTGATGAATTCACTTGGTCCACGATCATTCCAACTGGATACTTCTGTTTTACTTCAAGGTTTTGATGTTTTAGTATTTCGATTATCAAAAGAGATGCAATTGAAGTTATACAGAGATTGAGAAGATGTATTTTGGAATGTTCATTGAGAGATCTTTATGAAGTTTTGGGAAGAGCTCCAAGATTCATTATTATTCGCTATATTTTTCAAAATATTTTACTTGGACCTCAAAATCTTGTCTAGTAGTTGACGATTGAAGATCACAGAGTGCTATTGTTTAGAGGCTTCTCAGACCTGGAGCAAACACAGTTGCTCGCCTAATTGCTCCTTCCTGGTCTGAAACTTCATCCGCAATCCCCTCATTAGACGTTGACGGGTATGCGGAAATTTCATTGCCTCGGAAAACCTCTAAGGAGCTTAAGCCCAAGGGCAACAGCTTAATTACGAGCAGGTTTTACACGTTCCATTCACTTTTCACCCTTTGTCATCGTTTTGCCAAACTTCTTACGCTGTGTCTTACCTTATACCATAATTAGTGTACACCTCTCCCATTCTACAATTCACTGAAACGCGTTCTATTAATTGAAATAAAATAGTACGATCTAATGGAAGAGGGAGCATACTTCTAGCATGGCTTCGCGAAAAGTTTCCTGAAGCCATTATGAAGTTGAGATTAAGCTATAAATTCTAAATTTACTTGAACCTCTGCTTACAGATTTCAGAAACCGAATAATAGGCCCGAGTAATTGCATCGCATATTTCATCAAGGTGCTAAGTTCTCTCTGAACTTATCCAAGGGAGTTCAAAAGGGCCCATAAAATTGAATATTAATTATTGGACGTGGCTTGGTTTCATTTATCTTTCGTCGAATAATACGATACGATATAACAAGACGGAAAGAAATAGAAACCATATACTGTCAATTAAAAATAAATAATTAAGCAACGATACACAATAGAAAGCAGGGACATTAATTCACAGCAGAATTCTAAACTAGCACGGTTTAATTTCAATTACAGCTATCCAACTTTCCTCCCCCGACGAGACACTGACAGACGCGACAATGGAAGAAACGCACCCCCTCGGCACCGTCTCGAGCTTCAACCCCGTTCGCACTACATTCAGGAGTCGGTAATTATTAGCTTTCGACCGGAAGAAGCTACCAGTCGGGGTATCGAATGGGATTAGCGACAAATGTTTAAATTAAAGCGTAGCGAGCCAGAGAGCGACGAGAGGGGGTTGGAAAGAATTTCTATTGAAGCACCGATACCCACCCTCGCGAAGCTCGGCCAAATGACTTGCGACTCACCCTTATTACAGGCTGAAATTTATCACGGAAATTTCGGAGAGTATTTTACCCGGATAATTGCACCGCTTTATAAGAGCCACCCTTACGAGCCAATATAGGAGGCGAAGACGACGATCCTGAGCAGCCGAGAGTTTCCTTCGACCCTGGCGAATTTCCCTCGCGAAACGATCTCCAATTAGTCGTAGCCTGTTAAAAATGAATACTACAGAACGAAAGGATAATTTCATTTTCATAATTACATATCATAGTGTGAAGGAAGGGTTGATTTTTCTTGAGAAAACAAATATAAACAATGGAATAAAATTTTCCATAGTTTGTTTGACAAAGCAGCCTCAATCAAATTATAATCAAAGCCATTGCGACAGAAACGTGTGTTCTAACGGCAACATCATCGTCGCTAGGTGATGACGCAAATTGACTCGGCTCGTTGCGTCGATCAATCTCTCAGTTACGTTATCGTGTCGCTCTTCGATCATCGGGGGATCATTAATAAAGCAAACGAGCCTCGCAAATTGCTCCGAAAATCGAACGTTCGACGAGGCTGATCCACGGAAAATCCACAAATATGCACACTATCGCGAACCACCACCACTGTCACATCCACGTTTCAGTGTACACTATCGTTCAAAAGTATCCGATCTCTTACATAATGTCTGTTCCTGATGAAATATAATTTAAAAAAAAATTTCTCTGTATTAAATTGCGACACGTTGCCTTTAATTTAAACTGCAAATGATATAAATATTAATTCTCGGATGGCGGACCATGGAGAAAGCCCCAATTTTAATACTGCAAATACTAATATTAATAATATTAATAGAGTATAACATAAAGAATATCATTCTATGGTGATTTTACATCAAAAATATACATAACTTCATCCCTTCCGTTTCTTTTGATTAATTAGAAAAAACAAGTAATTCCAATTTATTCCAATTTATTCCATTGAAGGTGTAATGAAAAACTTTTGTGCGGTATTGTAGATGTCACAGTGAACAGGTACACACAAAACGGGCGCAGTCTCAGTTTCCCGGCACATTTGGCTACCTTATCGCCCCTTCACCCCGTTCGAGTTCCACATGCGATATTACAAGCCAGGGCAATTAGCGGTGGGGGGTTGCTGGAAAGGGTGGCGGTCGAGGACGACAGTTTCAGCCAGCTATACGGCTGGTGGGGCTGTCTTGCATATGATTGGCTGTCAGACGGGTTAATCCTGGCTCTGGCCACACCCTGCCACGTCTCAATCCACCCCCGTGGTTTTTCGCAGCGCGACGGGTCCCGTTGGAAACGGGCTTGCACGGAAGATGGCTCGGGGGTAGGTGAATTGATTGAGATCTTTGAAACGGCAACCTGGCTACGAAGAAAATCTTGATGGACTTCCAAGGTAAGCTACACCGATGTAGAATGGGGTAGGAAATCGAAGGGGTGCACCGTGTTATCGAATGTTTATGGAAGTTGTAATTGTACAAAGTGAAACGATCAAAGATCAATTCATTTTTTATTGTGATTATAAAAAGAAAATTTCAACGATTTGCTTAATAATTTCATCGCCACTATTTCCTCCACCCTGAGGGGGTGGGATATTTTTTAAGGGCTCAAAGTTAATGTGAAAATTACTCCAAATAATGTTCGTACTGAAACACATTATCTCCAAATGTCATAAAGTTCCGTTACAACCTAAATGGACATACGACCACGACAAAAACACTGCAGAGAACACTATCAAAACTCTGAGCAGCAATTAGAAGGAATAATTAACCCGTTCTCGTGAAATTCGAGCAAGCTATTCTATAGCGAACACGTACCGTGTGCACAAAGCTTTCGTTTAAATCTCCTGCTAAAGTAGGATCGCGTGCATTGTTAATTAGAATCTCAAAAGCCGAATGTTTGCTAGTTCCCTTTGACGATGGGCGTTCGAGTCAATAACACGGGCAAGGTTCCGTTGAAAATTTGTTGAAAGATGAAAGGAGAACTTTGACCTACGTCTAATAAGAGACCGGAGCAATAAAAATCCTCTGTTTCGCGAAAGGGATGAGGGCGGAGAGAAAGGAGAAAGGATACGGAATACCGGAACGCAGGAAACGCTTGATGAGCAGGAAAATGAGGATTTTTCGTTCCAACGATCAAAGGTGGTAATAACGTTATGAAGGTAGTTTCTTACGTTAATACGGTATGCGGATAATTCGGTTTAATTTGATTTCTGGCCGCGAACGAGGCTCGTTAATTACGCTCTCAAAGGATGTCGCTTGAAACCAACCGATCTCTAATATTTCAATCCGCGTTAATTTTAATCTCAATTTATTTTTATCTAAATGTTAAGTTTATTATAAAATTATTACCGAACTTATTACTCTTTGAGTTCAAAGCTAAAATGAATATCAAATGAGAGGTTCGAGGATAGGTATCCCTACTCCGAACAGGATAGAGCGACCACCTATAGTGCTCCCACTTGGTGAACATTTAGCGTGGCGAGTGCTCAGTTCAGCTGTTTCGTGTGTACGATTCGCACGTGGGTCATTGCGCGCTCAAACACACTCAAATTAAACCGACATAAATGAAACTCTAATTCCTAGAGAGTGACTAATAATTTGCACCTCCATTGATAGTATGAAGATTCCAAACGAGGTCATAAATCATTTGCTATAACAATGCCGACGGGTTTCGTGAAACTGAGACGTCGTCGCGGGAGGGACTCGATACGATTCGCCTCAAAATCAATGGAAAATCGAACAAAAATTTCAGAAATTGAAAAAATAAGGAGCATTGTTTTATACGACATCGGACAACTAAGGAACAGGAATCTGTCTATTATTACCGATGGTGAACCTGATTACTGTTCAATGAAAGACGTTGTTTCTTTAAGTCAGAGGAAGCTGAAGAAGATAGATAATCATAGGAGGAAGGATTGTTACGATTCATATATAAAAGTGACTGTGGAAAAGGATGTGACACCGAGAAGGAAGAAAGTGGATCAAAAGGACATTAATGAAAGCGTGAAGATGAAGAATGAGGCAGAGAAATATCATGGTTCAAAATCTTGCGGTGCGTGGTACCTGAAGTTCAGGCGTCACATCCTGAAGAGTTGGTGCAACAAAGTCTACCCTGATTTTACCACGGGGTGAGTAATAATTTTCAGTAATTTTAAGACTTCATTTTTTGTAAATTTATCAGCTGAAAAATTTTCTGAAAATTCTGGAGGTTAATTTAAATTTGTATCGCTTTTCAAATTTTACTGCCAGCTGATTCGTTGTGATTAATCAACTCATTAATAAATTACTGAAACACGGTACACCTGTCGATCACCGATTTGCATTCACGTTTGAGAGACCCTGTTATCGAATCGATTAGGCTGTTCAGTGGCGTCCTGAAGCACCGAGTCTTTATCAGAACCGACGGACGTGCTCGACGATAATGCACTTCTCACGGTGTACCGTGAAGACACGACGAGGTGTGCACGTGGCAAGGGAGTATAAAGACCCTTACTACTCGATGGACAAGCAAGCCGCTGTTTATGCAGGGAAACCTGTGCGGGTGAGTCATTCGAGTAAATGACAGCGAGCTGTAACGCTTGCGTGAGCACCGGCACACAATAATAGACGAAATACTGTTATTCACAAAATGCTCGGTTCTTCTTTTCAATCGAGCTGACCAAACCTTTGAACGCTCCTGTCATTTTAATGTGATGGATGAAGTTGATTCGATGGAAAATCATCGATGATGACACTGATAACGTGACGAATTAAAACTTCTATTTGTCCAGGAATTATTCAAAGTATAATGTTTCTAAAAAAATATTTAATTTGATTTTACCATTGTCTGCCTATTCACTATCTGTCTTTTTAGAAAACTTTTCATCAGATAATAGTATGCTCATAAACAATCATTCTTCAGTCGATGCTCAAACGTGCCGATCATACAGAACGTGAAAGCACAATAGTTTTCTAATTACGTATTACTCAAAGATCCTGTTCGAACTTTATCCAGCCCTACGGTACACGGGTCGAGCCGAGTGTGTGCGGGACAGGATCTTGCGCAGAACGTGCGTAATGGACTTCCGGCGTGCATCGAACCTGAACAAGCCGAGGTCCATACTCTGCTATTCGACACGGCTTTTTCTTTTTTCCTGGAAACTACTATTTTTCCCTGCATCCTGTGGGAGGTGAATCTCCAATCGACCAGTTCCCAACTTTATTCGAGCAACATTGCATGATCGTTAAGCATAATTCGTGCAACAAAATAAATGATACCCATGGAATAATAAAATTTTAATATCTTACAAATTAGAAAATTTCTAAAAAAAGAATTTCTGCCAAAATATTTTACTAATTAATATACATTTTAAATTTCTAATTAATTCACAGGTTTGTGATTTCCTTGATCCAGTTTCGATAATAAGACACGTTTTCATAAACTCCTGACACTACAGCGCAATCTTGACCAAAAGACACAACACCATAAAGGATATTTCTACTTGCCAATGGTCCTCCCGAGTCCCCATAGCAAGAGTCCTTTCCTCGTGTACCGTAACAAAGATGATATTCTTTGTTAATTATTGCTTCATATTCTGGAGTCTCGTTAATGCAAATTTCGTGTGGTGTGCGGGAAACGAATACACCCATCAGAACATCACTGATCCTTGGCTGGAAGAAATTTCCAAAAATTGCAACCCTTTCAGATAGAAGAAATTAGAAAAAGAAAAGCACTCACGTTATTTTGTAAAGAGGTGTAACCCCAACCACAGACATACAATTTTCGAGGAGATCTATTAAATTGATGAGGAAGTCTAATTGCTTGGACGGTATTTGAAAAACGAAAACGAGGTTTCACTTGGAAAAGAGCTACGTCGTGATAGAACACACCTGATAATAAATATGAATATTTTGCATTATCATACACGTGTATTTTTATCACTCTGTGCAATGATCCTCCTTCGTAAGGTTTGTTCGACCCAGCTCGTACGAAATAATTCGACGTTCTTTCTGAAAGTCTAAATAAATAATTGTCAATTCCTTGATACTTCTTTTGGACTGTTAGTTTGTTTAATAAATGAAGCTCACAAACAGTGAAGAGCAGTGATAGCCCAATTTCTGGAAAGAATACTCGCACCACACACGAATCCTTCGGAATTATGCAGAGACAGCTAAAATCGATTATTATTTTTTAAAATTTACACAGAGGTGATTGAAATTATACCAACCATGAATGGTCGATCTTTTATGTCCACAGATTTTCCACCAATGATTTTTGTCGTCACTTTACAATTTATACTTTTGATACTTATTGTAATAAGAAAATCTGTATAAAAAGAATTTGATGAACCGATTGATAGAAAGAAATATATACAACTTACGTATCAAACAGACGATTCTTGCTGAACCGTGCATTTTTACCAACTGCTCGCAGAAATATGTTTAATAAATCTGAAGGAACAGAACGCTTTGCATCTTTGAAAGCTATAAATGTCACGTTGGAGTGCGTTCTACGAATGCATCACTGAAATTATTACTATTCCTATCTGCCAGAATAACGCGGATAAGGTAAAATGCACGGAGAATAAATTATGCAACATCATTGATTTATAACGAAACTTTATTACAGTCTTGAACAGATTGGTGTGCTGATTAATTTGTCCTTCTTTCAAAAGTGTTATTAATTTCTAAAAATATAGACCTTCATTTTTTTTTAAATTTTATTTTAATTAAAATAACTCCAAATCTACATTGTTTCAATACTACAATTATCTATAATGACATATGCTGTGTTAATCACTATAATTAGAAATGGGAGCACTCGAATTATCACGAAATTCCAAAAGCAAATCATCCTGCGAAACAAGATTAACAATTTGTCTGTATTCGAGGGGAAGAGACCTGGGTGCATGTTTCCATTCATTATTAAAATCAAGGGAATTTTCTTCATCCTTCATGGAATAATCAAAACAGTACAACGAGGATACAAAACCAATGGTTCCCATAAAAATTGTAACTAAAAGAAGATTGTTTGCGACACAAGACAACATACTATCATTCGAACTTCGATATTTGTTCACACTATTCATGGATTCTATTAAATCCTTCATAGAGACATCTGCTTCTTTCATGATCTCTGAAAATCAAATTTAAATTTATTTACATAATCTCAAAAAAATTGACGGATGTCTAGGAATTGTACCAACCAGGCCTAGAACGAGTAGCTATGGAGTGTTCTAAACTATCCTCAGAAAATGAACTTTCATCTTCATTCCACTGATCATCAGCCAACGAATCATTCGGTGAGCTCTGCCCATTTTCACTGACAGTCTCTCCACTGTACAGCTCCAGTAGTTTGTTCATCCACTTCATTAAACTCGATAAAACATTCAAATGACTCTGCCAAGCTTCGTTCAGAGTGTCTTTGATTCCTTTCACGAGGAACTGTTCGAAAGTGGATACGGATCGATGCATTTTATGAATCGCGTTGAATGTCCTCAGAAGTATCCCTCTTCTGTATGTTTGCAGTGCTTCTACGATCTCATTGCGTCTGATTAAAAATGAGAAAAATCACAAATTATGAATTTTATTATAAAAGATTCCAAAAAAACAAACTCCTGTGTAAAATTCACTGCAATTTTCAATCCAATCGTACAAACCTTGATATTCCGGTTTTATTTTTCGTGGAAAACCTCTGTAACTTCCTCTGTCCATCCTCGAAAATCTCAAAATACTGGAGAAGTTCATCCACGAAGCTCTGTCCTAATTTGCTCTGCGACATAGTGTCAGCAAGATCCATGGCAGCTCGGTGCAAAGGCGATTTCCTCGTTATTTTCTTATCCAACATCCTCTCGAACGCGTACTTCACCTTCTGCTGCATCTTTTTCGGAGTTTCCCGCACGGATTTACAGGAAACCTCTACCTGTTCGCTCTTATCCGCTTGAATCTTGCAATCGCTCAGCCGTTCAATCGCCTTCACCCACGTATTCGCATGAATACTTTTCCTTTTGTTCTCAGACCGCTGTTTCGAATCGAGTAAACAGCTATCGAGCTTCTGCAGATCTCGTATGCAATTTTCGTAACTTCCCTGTTTGTTAATCATCGACAGACAAAGAATCACCTGCCAGTATTTCTGCTCCGTTCGAGTTTTAGGTACTTGGTCCAAAGAAATGGTATTTAAGTTTGATTTTAATTTTTTTATTGCGACTTTTGGAGGGTGCTTCGCAAGATTTAGTACTTCACGGTTTATAGAGAACGATTTGCGACTCCTTGTGTCGGGCATTTGTAAAAGACACTTGGATAGGTTTTCGGTGAACTCTGCTGCGTTGTACACGACGCCTAGGAATTGGAAGCTTTCTGGCTGTCTTGTTACTTGCTGAGACAATGTAGAAGATTTATTTTGAAACTCGGATTTTGTAGAATTTAACGGAAGATACGGGATAATTTTGTAAAGGGAGACAAGAAAATTCAGCTACCTTATTTTCCACTGCAGTTGCATTCCCATCGCGAAAGTGCATTCTAATCGACGTCCCTATTCCATTGATCACGTTTCCGAGATCGCGAAGAATATAAGCGCCTTGGAGCAGACTTTCAGAATACCAATCATCAGACAATGGATCATTGATCAAATTCTGTTTATAGAGCCGAACGTCTAATTGGCAGTCATCAGCGAATCGTGCAAGAGCCTTCTGCATGGATTCGCACATTTTTCGAATCGATAACTGCACGTCTTTCCCATTTTTCGACGTGGATTGCAGTACAATTGTTCCATTTATAGGGTCTGCTATTTTGGACAGAAAACGCTGGAGTGCTTTTTCCAAATGATGCACACTTTCAGAATTGACCAATGTAAAGTTGCTTGAATTAATTAGCTGGTTTTTGGGTGAAATTATGGAATCTGAATGATTCACATGTTTAGAGATTGAGATACTAACTCCTGCACCTGTTTAATATTTTAATAAATAAATAAATAATGATTAGTTGAGTGGATTTTTTTATACTTACAGAGAAATATTGCATGGATAATTAATTTCAGTAACATGGTGGAGAAACATAAAGCTTACTTGTACCGATATTTTTCTTTCCACTGAATTAGTCTCTGGTTTATATAATTTTTCTTGGATACTGATGCAAGAGTTATTTTTGATAAGCCTAGTTGAAATATTGCGCTGCACTGTCATTTTGCAGCTCGTTTTAGATTAGACTCAGATAAAAGTGTTTCTGCGGACACTGTTTGAAACGTCGCGATGAAATATTAGAAAAAAGAAGAAATAAAGATAAATTCAACTTGGGAATTCCCTATAAAATTTTCTAAATTAATTTTATTGTACGCAATCAGTGTATCATCAAAGTATTCAATAACAAAGAATACGGAGATCCAGTGATTTAGTGGTAGTCCCCTGTGGCTCATAAAAAGAATGAAGAAATAAAAATTTGCCAAGGGAGGCTTTGGTCCATAAAAAGGAGTAGGATAATAAATAGTTAGAGAGCGTGGGGTTTGACCTATAAAAAAGGATAAAATAATTAATAACTGAAAAGGGTGGCCTTGGCCCATAAAGATGGTTAAAATTATATAAATAACTGGAAAAAGTGAAATAAAGGAGGGATACAATCATAAATGTTATTCGCCTTCGATGAGCTTATTTAATAAGCAAAGAAAATAAATAAAGTAAATTAAATAAATTCCGGAAAAAAATTAGATGATTATTATACCTGTTGTGCCCTCTACGTACGGTCCTGATTTCATTCCGGGGTGTCAGGGACCCCGAAGCGTTGGTGGCGCCCTCTACGTGCAGACTTGATATCGTCTTGGGGTGTCAGGGACCCCAATGACTCTTTCTACGCACCGACAAAATACCATCTTGGGGTATCGGGGACCCCGACCACTCTCTCTATGCACCGTCAAAATATCATCTTGGGGTATGAGGGACCCCGGTGACTTCCTTTGCGCACCGTCAAAATATCATCTTGGGGTGTGAGGGACCCCGGTGACTTTCTTTGCGCACCGCCAATATATCTACTTGGGGTGTCAGTAACCCCACTGACTCTCTCTGCGCACCGACAAAATACCATCTTGGGGTATCGGGGACCCCGGCAACTCCCTGTGCACCGACAAAATACCATCTTGGGGTATCGGAGACCCCGACCACTCTCTGTGCACCGTCAAAATATCATCTTGGGGTGTGAGGGACCCCGGTGACTTCCTTTGCGCACCGCCAAAATATCATCTTGGGGTGTCAGGAACCCCACTGACTCTCTCTGCGCACCGACAAAATATCATCTTGGGGTGTCAGGAACCCCACTGACTCTTTCTGCGCGCCGATAAAATATCATTTTGGGGTGTCAGGAACCCCACTGACTTTTCTGCGCGTCGACGAAATATCATGTTGGGGTGCCAGGGACCCCACTGACTCTTTCTGTGCACCAACCTAATACCATCATGGGGTGTCAAGGACCCCATAGCCAAACTGTGCGACCCGTAGATTTTCTATAGAAAAATTGAAACCTCTGTAACTTTTGACTCCGACCACTTAGCCGCACAAACGAAACGGTTTTGAGCTAGTCTCAGAGAGACCTTTCTAACAATGTATAAAAAGTATCTTTATCTCTAATAGTTTTCAAGTTGATATAAGATATAAGAAAGCAACGAAGGATCATTGACTTTGAATGAAAGAAACGCATCAAAGTGCCAATGACTCTCAACGAATCTGCTAAAATCATTTCAGATGCTCGAGTAATGCCTTTGGCAACAAACTACCGGTTCTCTAATGCACCTGCAATGGAGAGGATCTGATGTCATCACGATGATAGATCTCGTTGACTCACTGATGCTATTCAGGAAGCATGGCGCCATTCAGAGTAGCTGATACTAAATTTAGCGAGAATTAATTATAATAATTAATCGATATAATAATCAATTCCAAATTACTCTTCTTTCAACAATGTCCTTAAAATGCTGAAAGATAATTGCTCTGAAAGGCAATAATCAAATATTGCTCCTTTTCTTATCACAAATTCATCTAACTACATATATTAAATTTATTGCAGGTGGAAATAGACATCAATAAAAAAAAATCAATCATAAATAACTTAAAAACTGTTGAAGCTATGAGGCTCAAATTTTGCACAAAATAATTTCTCAGGATAATGAACGAATATCCTGATTTTTACAAAAATCCATCAATTTATTTGCAAAAATACTAGTTTATATCGGAACAGTTCGATGCAAAGTCTGTAAGGTTCCGCCATCTAGCGACTGGAATAGAATTACCAAGAAACAGCAATGTAGGTGCATCATTCACCAGTGTGCCAGTTGATCCAAGCTGACCTACCGGTGTTAACATCAACATTTCTCTGAAATTTCTAACGATAGTCGTCGAATGCCCAGTGTTTCCAGCGACCAAAGAGCTGTGCTTCGTTTCGAGCGTTAGAGAAGTGACGTTCCGATCGGTGAGAGCGTTCTTTGGACCGCGAACGATGTTCTAAGAGTCTACCTGGGCGTGAGTTCTACCTGACAGGATGGACGAGGAGGCTATGTGGAAAGATTTCTATCACAAGATCATCGTGGAGAAGGAGACCAAGGAGAAGGAACAACAAGAGAATTCGGAGCACGAGATAAGGTAGAAAGTGAGCCACCTCATGGGATCGTTGCTTAACCATGGATCGAAGATGATTCCTAACTGACACGCGAACTTAACACGCTATTTTGTGTTACTAACCGATCGTTTAACACCGATGAGATCGCCTTTGGCAATGAACAAGGAGTTCTCTTCCTGTTAAGAGGCTGCGGGGATAATTAATCTAATTGCTTGAGCATTTAACAGGTATAGTCTGTTCGAAATTAAATAACCGTTCAAAGCCATTGAAAATTTATCCCCACCACAATTTTTTTTTTTTTTTTATACTTATGGGAGGGGAAATACATTTACATACGCGCGGGTGCTCCCCCTGTCGCACTATTCGGCTAAGGGGGCCCGGGCAGTGTGGGACTCGTACCACCCACGTCAAAATACTCGGGCTGGTACCCTACCCACTAAAACCTCTCCCCTAAGTATTATCACGTCCCAAAATTGCTTTTTTCGGAGATAGAAAGTAGGTCTACTGGATCACTTTCTATCTTAGTCATCGCTGTTAATAATTACTAAATATTTGATTGAAATCCTGGTAGCAATCTGTTTCCAATTAGAATGCTTCGGATACGAACGCTCGTAAGTTAAATCGAGTCTGTAACGCATCGATCTTATGACTCACTGTAATTATCCATGCAAAAAACGAGGTGTAAGAGACGAAAATGTAACAAGTGACTGAACAACAACGCGTGTCTTTATTCCTCGTCGCCGTCTTTTTTCGAGACCTGCCGTTCTCTTATCGCGTTCTCCGAGGGAATTTACGTTTGTTCACGTTTATTTGTCGCCGTATCAACGACTGAAGAACCACGTGCTCGATCCGGGGACATCGAGCGTTCGAACAGTTGCAGTCGGTTGTCAAACAAACGCTCGTTGCACTTTGCTCGACGAAACGATGAACCGACTGCATTGTGAGCGGCCTATGCTATTAATAAAACGAGACTAACGTTGGTCCCGGAACATCTGCGATGGAATTGTTCCTCCGAGAGTGAATACGTAACGATTCCACGAGGACCATGGCTCAAGGTCGACCATTAATTGCACCTTTGATGTCAGGTGAAAAATTTCAGACACATGAGACAAATTACTTCGAGACGAATGCCTGTTTAATTAGCAAGGGTTATTTTAATCATACGACGACAAGCATGGGAATGTATTATATTTTTTGTCAGAAAATTACCAATTTCTTTGATTGGCACATGACGCGATAAATAACCGTTCGGATAAAACGGCACGCAAAAGAGGTTTCGTTACTGGCATACAAACATCTCGGAAGCGCATAGTATATAAACCAGACTGTTACATTCCATTCCGCCTCCTTAAATGGCGAAGAAGCGAACGTGCGCGCGGTGCTAATTAATTCTTTTATGATGTCTCAGCTGTTACGAGGCTGCCAATGGCGAACGCATCGAAGCAAAGCAAATCGTAAAACGCTGAAACCGATTATAGGTAAACGATATGCTATCTGTAATGAGTAATATTTACCGAAGTCTTCTATGAAATCAGCGATGCACGAAGGAAATAAATTCAACTGTAAGGAACACTGCTAATAGCACTGAGAAAACTTTAGAATTTCATTTATCTAATAAATAAATAATTCTTAATTACCATCATTCTTAATTACTGTACATCACCTGACATGGACACTGTTACACACACGATTTTGCCACACATTATGCCAGTCTGATAAACAGCTTCTGGCTATGACAATTAACTATGATCATTGGTGTAATTGCGTTGATTCAGCAGAATTCACGCAAGCTTGTTTTCCCATGGGTCAGTGATAAGCGAACTCCAATGCTCACGTCACTCAAAGAGATCAACGGGAATTCCTCGTTTCCTTAGCTGGAACGAGCTCAATAAGGAAACTAAGAACAGTAATCAACATGTTAAATGAGTAACGTGTAGGTGAACGTCCCGCGTGATCAAGATAATTAACATTTAAGGTAGTTCGAAGCAAACGAGGACGAGTATTCAAGAATTCTCGTGGAAAAATGAAATGATAGGAGTATCGAAGATGAATTTTCTTCGCTTCTGGGAAATCAGCGTTCATGTTCGCTCTTTGAAGTCACGTATACTAATAAATAAACGCAGAGATTAACGCGAAGCGGATCAAATCGGTTCAACTTTTGAAACGACACAGACCACTGAAGGTCGTTCCTTTATTACATCACTTAGACCTTGTATCTGGCGCTCTCAAGACAACAGTACAGTTTCAAACCACGTGAAATTTAAATACATAGATGAATCAGGTGAAATATTTAACCAGCAGAATGCAAATGTTTATAAAAATACAGGTCACGATGCTATTTTCATTCTTAACGAATTCGTTCCAGAAATAAATAATAATTCAAGTGATTAATTGTAATCAGTACTCCGAAGAAATAGCTAAACAGCAGACAATGAAGATATTCAAGGAAATGTATTTCGAAAGCCATTTCTCTGAGTGTACAGTCAGAAGAATGCGACACAGAAAACCACATACGAGACAAGCTAAAAATAATAAAGATTAGTCACAGAGAAATGTATCGTATCGTTTTTGAAATAAAAAATTTTAAATAATATAAAAGTATACCATTTTTTTTAATAGATATTAAATTTTGTACCATTCCTAAAATAAAAGAAAGGAGTTTCTAAATAATTTTGCTGACTGCCATAGGGTCACCAGTGATCACTATCAAATTAAATAATTAAGAAAAGAGGAGTATAATTTTGAATAGCACTGCTATTATACTGTAACGTAATAAATTGAAAGGTTCAATTGAAAAATTGAATATTATAAGATAGCTGACTATGATTGCTTCTACTGTGGCGCTCAACATCTTATGACACCTTTTTTACTCTTCTATTGGAGTGTGAGAAATTTTCACCTTGAGCTACAAATAATAGCATGATTACGAATAATTTATGACAATACATAAATAGACTTTATCATATCAAATCCGTTCAAATTGTGGGAAAATACCCAGTTTCAATAATCATACATCCTGCTACCTCCTACTTACTTTTTCTCTTGTTCTTTCGAGGTCCTCCTGCAGTTTGCGGACAGACATGCTTCGATAAGCATGTATCTCCGCTTCTATAGTTAATAAATTGCACCTTATCGCGGTAAATTTCCGAGTCAAGTGAATCAGTTCGAGTTCTTAGGTAGATAAATCATCCAAAGTCGTGGTGATTACTGATAGGTGTTGACAGTTGCTAGAAAGTGATGTAATTAAACATTTTTTAATTTCAATTAAACCACAATCAATAATAAAAAATAAACAGAAAACAGTGTAAATTAAGAAAATTAAAACTTAAAACACCTTGTCACTATTCAATACTATTCTCTAAAGATAACACAGATAAAGAGGATTGCTTCTTTTTCTCAAAATAGCACTGAGCTCATACTATTTTGTTCTCCGAAAATAAGTGTTCTCCAAAGAACAAATATTCAGGAATTATGAGAAACCTGTGTCTTCTAAATGTCTCTCCAGTAAATCTCGTGTGAAACAGCCGTTCTATGTTTTTTTTCTGAAAGGAGTGAGCCCCGAAAAATGGCACATTTCGAGAAGCTGGACGAGCAACATCCTTACTACGCGATCGCCGCGGCCCGAATGTGGCAAAAACCGGAAACGAAAGAGGTGACCACCGCGTCGATCTATTGGAAATTTGCGGCGTTCAACTTCATTCAGAAAAGGTGAAACTTTCGTAGTAGTAGTAGATGTGAGAGCCGAAGAGTATAGACATTTATTTCCAAAACTGAAACCGTGCGCTGAATTTAAAAAGCTTGCGCTATTGATGCACATCGCGGAACGTGTAAATGAAGCCTAATGCAGTCGATGGTTTCGATCATCTCGTTTCTTGGCACAAATGAAATCGATCAGAGTTCGAGAAAAACACAGTTGGCATGACAATGTAATCGTTCTAGATTAATGTGGCATTGGAGCTCAGGTTGACAAAGCATCTGCTTTCATCGTTTATTGCTACTTCCTTGCGGGATATTTTTCACCCGCTAGTCCGCCTGACGTAATTTCCGTCGAATATAAATTATTTTGACGAATTAACACGATGCTTTGAAACGTTAATATTATTTTGAGTGTACGTCAACATCGAGGCACGTTTGATGTGTAATTTGCGATATTGGTGATTGTAATTTGCAGGATACAAGAGTCTGATGGGGGATTTTTCGAAAACCTCGGTACCCTGCTGGCGGAGAAGGTACGAGCACAGGAAGAAGTGGAAGGACCCATTCCGAAGAAGATAGAAGAAGCTGAAGAAGCGGAAGAAGAAAGCAATCTAAGCGAAGAGGAAAACATCGAAGAGCCAGTCGAAGCACTTTTAGAGACTGACAGTGACAGAGACGAAAATGAACACGCCACGAATTTCTTGGCCGAGTCCATGGGATGGAACGTGAGTTAAAACATCTTATTTATTCTTTTTAAATTTAATTCAGGTCGATGAGTATTATTTTTGCGAAGCCTTATTTCACTTCGTCGACCTTCCATCTCGTTTAAAACGAGATCAAGGGAAACACATTTCCACCAAATGTTTTTTTGTAAAACAATTAAAGTGTTATAAACCATAATAATTAACGAGGCGATTTCACAAAACCGTAATGGTACACACAAGTGCAATTAAATCGTAAAAATCTTTATTCACTCTTTGGAGCGTTTTCTAATTCGAATCGTGGGTGTTGAGAAATTTCGAGTGTTTCTTTTCTCGAGGCCAGAATTCGATGTATTTCGAGAGTGACTGATCGATCCGCGATATTAACGATCATCGCGAAAACCTGAATGGATCGTTTTAAACGATCGACTTAAAATAAAATACTTTAATAGCGTTGTCTACGTCAGCGCGAATAAGGGGTGGTCTGTTCAGTGTTTGCGTTCACGTGAACGCAAGCTTTACATAACACTGTTGATAGAGATTATGGGAAACAGATGAGGGAAAAGCATGGGAACATACGTTTCAGTGGAAATCTCTTAGAGAATATGAAAAAGAAATGTGAATAAACTTATAGTCTGACTTGATATGATAAATAGAAACTTTCTTTACACACCAATTCCTATGCAATAATTAAAAAAAGCAATCAACTACATGGCAATATTGTTTAATTTTTTATTTTTCCGAATTCATGATTGAATTCTGGTGGAGGGTTCTACAGTAATGTCCACTTGAATGGCGCGAAATTACCCCCACCATGTAAATATTTATATGAAATAGTTGCAGGACTTTTTTATTTTCGATTGATAAGAAATAAGCCCCATTGATTCCTGAAACACCTACCCCCCGCAGTAGTCTCCGCGCGCGGACCTGAAAGAGCGCGGACATCACTGTATTACGCAATAGTAGTAACAGGACGATATTGATTTCACAAAGGCCACAGTTTTACTTGACTATTCGTCGAAGTCAGTGTGTCTAGAGCACAGTGCCTTTCAATGCTAAGTTTTCTAAATTTTGTTAAATTTTGGAGTTAAAAATAATGAAGCTAGGAAAATATGGCGACTCATTTTCACTCAACCTCAATGAAGACTATGTGAGTATAAAAATATGAAATTTTCCTTTTTCCATAGAATATTCAAGGATCCCTATGAACACTTTTCTCATCCCAAACATCAGAAGCATCCAAAAAGACCCGGTCTTCGAACCGGTCAAGCTGTAACCCGTTAAGTGGCTGAAAGGGTAGCGAAAAAAGGCGAAACAGAAACGTAGGAGCACGTGAATGCTTCAATTATGTCACCGATACGGTGCGCGCACTCGCACGCCGCAGGGTGTTATCCTCTAAGCTGAATCGGACAGTTAAGCTCAATCTGAAACTACTACTTGGTGTTCGTGGGTTAGCCAACGTTAGCGACGTTGTTGCACACCACCACGAGTCGATTCGTCGACGTACGACGACTTCTGTCGGTCCATCTATTCCTGGCAGTGTGCTGCTCGACTCCGTCAAGCTCCTGTCTCGTCTTCTCGTCGCGATTGTCCTTATCCGCACCCCTTTAACTCGCGAGACTCCGCTCATTGGACGCACGGTGTCCTCGAGGTGTGAAACACGGCGATTAAACAGGTGTCTCGCGATTCGTGGGAAAGGTAGTGATAAGTGGAGAAAGGGTTGTTGCGCTAAGTGGTTGGTGCCTTTCGGAGTTTCAGGTGATCGTCGATTCTTAATGGATCCTCTGATGTTGATTAGGTCTCTCGTCTCATTAAGTGGAAATTGGTACCCTTTTTGAAAATTGAGGGAATATTAATTAATTATAGAAAATTAAGTACTTTTCTTTCATTTTTCGAGCAGCATCAGGAAAGCTTGATTACTTTGAACCTTACAATGAATTTTAGCGTTCGAGGATCTTATTTGTTAGCGAGTGAGGTTTGGAGATGATTGCAAACAGCGCGTGGCTATCGAAAAGTCAGAGTCATAAAAATAAATCAAACCAATCGAGAAAACCGGTGTTGAGTAATCGTCTGCATTCTATGTACTGTATCTTCAGACATTGGCAAACTGTCAGCGACATGGTTTCGTTCACTACCGAAACAACCATGAAAAATGCCTAATGGAGTTCCATGAAACGATGGCGCGAAATGGTTACGAAAGTTCAGAAAGATCATAGAATTATGTTTTATAAAGCTGGAGGATTATTTGAAATATTTGAAACACTATCCTCCAAGAATCGTGATTCATTTAATCCGAAAGTATACTTAATAAAGGACCTGAACAAACATAATGAGATCAGTTTTCGTTTCTGAAATTTAGAGGAAACAGATAACTCGGTTCCTCTTATTCTACGATTATTTTGGAACACGGTAAATATGTCTGTGATTCATAAGAAAAATGATCAAATCAGCATTTATTCGACGAAAATTCAAGTAAAATTTGGCATGTTCTAAACTATTCCACTAATTTCTCGATTGCGTATACAGTGATCATTGAAGCTAATAAAAATCGAGTTCGTTGGTCCACTAAATGGTACGGGAAAAGCTCGAGTTGCCTAAATTAATTCGTTCCCGCCGTAAAATAGATCCGTCGACTGAGTGGGCGACAAACTTGCATAATATCATGAAAATTGGGCTGTTCTGCGAAGGACGGATACACATATGTCCCATGTACTTTACTATACCATCCAATTAAAATAAATGAAAATTAATTTTGTTACAAAGTCGCAAATTTTATCCTTAGGGTTCCTAAGACACTTGGTATAACTAGGTAAAAGTCAGGGTGACCTTAGCCCCCTCGTCGTTTAACAATTTTAAGATTCTAAAATTCTAGAATTTCAGAATTTCAAAATGAAATATCAGATCCTTAAAGCTTCAGAATTTTAGAATTAAAAAATTTCAAAATTTCTATGGGACCTAACCCACCCCAGAAAAAATCTTAATTAACACGATAGGAATAACATTCTTTGAAAAATAAGAAAAACTATCTGGATAGTTACTTCTGGATAGTATGGCATGTCCAACTACGCGTGCCTCGTCGGTCAATCAGCTAATTGCCGGTATATCAATTTTCATTGGGCGCAATTGCGCGAGCATACGAACGCATTGTGGTTGCACTTGCCCCGTGGGTCGGCTCAAACAGGATACGGCATAGTTTCCCTTTGTGCAGATTCATTGTCTTGTTTTCGCGTTTTCCATTGGTAGCCGAGTTAAACGTACGACCAATGCGTCTCTCGGTCTGCTCGAACCTCGATATTTAAATTGTCCCTGCCGAGTCGAGATAGAGAAATGGACAGGAGAAATGGGAGATTGTTCGATAAAGCTGAGCTTCTTTGTTCTATCAATTCATCGTGTCCTTTTGTGGTGGAATAAATTGAACACGTCCATCGGTGGGAACTGCACCGTCGTTTCTAACTCACGGGTTGCCGGTTCTTCCAATCTTTTCGCTTATCATTGTCAAATTTTTTTATTTATAATTCAAATTTTCAAAAATAATTTTTCAAGCTCTTCAAGTTGGAGTTTAAACCCTTGAATCGTGGCTCTCTCCATGGTCCGCCGTCCGAGGGTTAATAAATTCGCGTTCAAAGATTTCGATGCCTCCGAGCCAATAGGGCCAATGTTGCTCGAACATGTCCAAATAAATGAAATCTCATTGTCAGAGTCAATTGCTCTTGGCATCCAAGTTCGCCAGTGAACTATGATGCTAAAGTTTGTGGCCCAGTTTTCGCGTTTCCCAATGACCCGTTGATCCAAACGTATTTCCATTACGTCTGATAGCTATCAAGCAACCTTCACCCGTTCAAGTGTTTCTTTTCCTTCTCTGAAAAATGGAAAAGATGGTTGATTCGAGGGTTTCGAATCGCTTGACGATTCTTTTTGAGAGCACCTAGTAAGAATCAACTATTTCAGTCGGACGTGGTCGCGTTCCTGACGTTCTTTTCGAGAGACCGAAAGGTCGAATGCGCTAAAAAAAGAGCAACGTTTGAAATTTTGCTTGGGAAACGAAGAACAGGATCCACGTACGTGTATTACGCAAGCCAAATTCAAAGAAAGATTAATTATAATGTTGAAAATTGGCAAAGATAAAAATGATTATTATTCTGTTATCGGTAAGATTAATTTAACTTTGATCTACCAGAAAATATTTCTTTCAATATAGTATCTAACTTGATAACCCCGTTTGTCTAATATTTTACTCATGCAACGAAATATTCATTCTAATCGTTCTTCTTCGTTCAACGATTCAAAGGAACTGATTAATGTAACCAGAGTGCATGTAAATTTCAATTACCGTAGGTAGGTCAAGAATAGAATAACAAATGCAATTATTTTTCCTGTCTATTTTCGCGAAGGAAAATATTTATCCATATCAAAATCTTCGAAATCTTTGTAAACCCTCCATATATTCTTGGATTTTTTTTTAGAAACTTAGAGTGTCGAGGAATTCCATCGTCTGGGTTATTCTTTTTCGCGTCGAAACGCTTCGAGTAGCCTCGTGCATCGTTCGATTTCGTTGGCTAGTTCGATCAGACGCTCCTCTTCGATTATGCATACGCACGGCCGAATAAATATGCGTACACCCGATAAGAAAGGTCGCGGTCGTCGTGGAAGTTCATCCGCGGCCGACAAAGCGCGAGTCCACGCCATCGTTTCGTTGCTTTTTCCAGCAGTTCGAAGCTCGTCGCTCGTGCAGCACTTATGGAAACGCCGATTACTCGATCGCTTTTCTCGGCAATCGCCTTCACGATCCACGCTTTCCTGACACGGATCCTTTCTGGCGAACGCTTTGCAGCGAGGACTAAATAGTCTTTGTTGTAGAGCAAAGACGAAAGTGTCGGCGAGGTGGAAGCTAGATCTCGAAGCGAGAAGTGCTGGTGCATGAACGTCATTGTTCTCCGCTGACAGCCGTCAGTTTCTTCGTTCGCGGGTCATCGTCGTGCTCTGAATCGCGTTTCGACACGTTTCCGACGAGACCATGCTTTCCTCCGGCGAAGGGTTCGCCGAAGGATCGAATAAATTGAAACTATTTTCTGAACATTCGATGTGAGAAAGTGTCCGGTGATTTGATATGTGCCGATTGATAGAGTTTTTCAATAAAATTTTGAGATGAGAGGATCGTGTTCGTGAATCGAAATGGTGAGCACCAGTCCACCCCTCGGGGTGGCCACCCTCAATCGGTGGAGGAACACCTTCTGCGGGGTGCCCAAGGCGGAAATCGAACGCAGAACGAACACGCTGCTTCAGGCTATGACGGTGAGTCGATTGGTCGACGATTTGTTCAAAACGAATTGTTTATTTATTCAAAAAGATGTGATTTCAATTTTTTGAAAATGAAAAACAGGTATGTATTTTAATCTCTGTGTTTGACCTTTTAATGTTGAAAAGAATCCAACAAAGGAAGCGAGCATAAATTATCCTCCTATTGTATCTTTTTCCTGCTAATTGTTCGTTCGGTCGAGACCCGCGTTAACAGAAGAACTTTGAACCATGAGTATCATGGCTCAAGTGACGTTTTCACGATCGTCTTGTAACTAAATCTCTGTGTACACACGTTATCAATGTCTCCCAACTAGCAGATGCTACAATTACGAGTGACGCAAGTGGATTGCGTACTGTTTCTCAATAACATAACTATTGACCATCGTGAAGAAGCGAGGGAAATTCAAAAACCCTCTGCGATGCCTTTAAGAAACATTAGCGAAGTGTGTTTCCCTAAGACGTCTGGATCTCTGGGGATCAAAATTCAGAAAGAAAATTTTAATTATTTATTGCAGATTGAAGAGCTGTACGCTGCTCTGTTATATATGACCCAGCACCAAATAGGCTACGACGTATCCAACGAGTGTGGACAAGAAATTTTATTGAATCACCTCCAAAATGCGTTCAAAATCGACAACGAAACGCACGAGAGAGTTCTGGAGGAGACAAGGAACATGGAGGTGAGAATCTACCTGCTATCATAGGGAAACTGTTAATATTTCAGCTAAAGATGTGTATACACGATTACCATTTAGCCACCGGAAATGCATTTGAACGTGGAAGTGATCGAGGCGAAGGAATTAGTATCGAAAGATGCTAATGGAAAGAGCGACCCTTTCTGCGCCCTTTATCTCGAGTCAGCACCCACCAGAAGGTACAACACTGCCGTGAAAACTTCCACATTGAGTCCCGTCTGGGAAGAACACTTTGAACTGTGAGTTTATTTTACAATGCATTCGGTTAAATAAATATTCCTTAATTTTTTTGAAAATTATTTTAGACCCCTAGAGGACCCAGAAAACGACGTGCTATTTCTGGAAGTATGGTGAGTTCGAAGTGAAATTACATACAGTAAAACCTCTATAAGTCGTCAAAATTTCTCTAGATAATCTTGATAATAGTAATTGATTTTTTATTACAGGGATTTCGATGCCGCTGAGACGGTTCCCGAGAAGATGAGCAAGGTGAAGGATGTGAAAGGTGTTCGAGGTCTGGTGAAACTCGCGAAGGAGATCGCGGTTACCGCCACTACTGGTAGCCACGACAATGAATTCATCGGTCGTTGTAGAATACCTCTGAAGGTATAATTAAAAACCTGCTTAACAAGTTCCCTGCCACACGATTTGATGGCGTTAGATTGTCAATTCCATAGCAAAATTATAATTGCCTCCTGTGCCTAATTACACTTTTCAAAAATCACTTCAGGACATCCCAACCACTGGACACACAATGTGGTACTCTCTGGAGAAAAAGAACAAATCTAAACGTCGTGGAGTTGTGAAGCTAAGATTGGCTTTCAGCGCTGAACACAACGCACAGGTAGCCGCACAGGAATACAGACACCTGCTCAGAGTGTTACTGTTGCACGAGATAGAAAATGAGAAGATAGAGAAATACTGTTGGTGCGGAAGATGGTCCGCACCTGCGGAGGTTCTTCTTCTTCAACACAGCGCTCAACGAGGTTTGCTGGCCAGGAATGTGGCACTAGCACAGTGGGTGGAATACGCAGGGATACATCAGGAACATCCCTTAAGCTTCACAGTGTTCAGTAAACTGGCGATTGATTTGTTGAGGCCCATGGAAAATGGCCTCTTCTCTCCGGATGAGACCAGGTTATTTTGGAATGCCACGAAGAAACTATTGTATTCGTGTTTGAATAGTATTCGAAAAATTAGGAGGCTCACACCGGGTGATAAAAACACTATGGCACAGTTGTCTGCGATTTTGGGGTAATTACCGGTGATTTAATTAATTCTAATAATTGGGTGAAGCAGGTTTGAGCTTTGAGGTATTAGCAGCTGTTTATTTGTTTTAGAATACTGTCGTCCATTTCGTGCCTTAAAGTTCCTGAAGAAATTAATTTATTCCCCCAAAAAATGTACTCCTGGTTCATGGATCAGGACGAAAACTCGAGTGTTCTTCAGGCTTTGGAGTACACCGTCGAGCAGGGTGGTGCTGAATGGTAGAGGATCCATCAATATTTATTCCAAAATCACTTAAGGCTTTCAATTAATCAGTACAATTATTAATTCACGTTTCGTCTCAGGTTCAAACACATACTGAATAATAATTCTCCGGAGAGTGATTCGGACGAGGATCATTTAAAATACCATATCAAAGTGATACAACTTGTTAGAGCGGATCTACAGAGTGCCCTTGATAATTACGACAAACTATTCATCAAGTAAAGGATCTTTAGAAAAATGAATATCTTCTTCATTGAATATCCATTGTAATTAATTTTAATTCCAGACGAATCAACTTCCCCTATGCGAGGTGTCTGTACATGATGTACGAGAAGAGGATCAGTGACATGTGCATGATCATCGTCGAGGATGTTTGTGGCAGGTTAAAGAGAATTGAAATTGAGAACAGTGATGTTGAATTGAATTTAGGAACAACGTTATTCGAGCTCTATCTCGCGTTACAGAGATATGCTATGTAAGTTGAAAATATAGACATCAGAAATTCAGAAAGCCTGAAGAGCTCACAAATTTTTGAATCCTGGTATTTTAATTCTGAGACGATGGATCATAGTTTCAATTAAAATTCAATGAAGTAATTTTTTATTTAAAGGGTTGGTGAGATCCTCTGTGCAGAAGGACAGCTCGAAGGGATGAAGGTTCAAAGCTACCACGAATGGTTCAGAGCTGGAGTGGCGCACTGGTTGGACATAGCCGTGTACAAGGCTCTAAAACGAATAGATAGAGCAGTAGAATTCGACACGTTGCAAGCAGTCGATAACACTGTTCAATATAGCTCGAGTGCAGTGGATACTTTGACGATATTCTACCAAATCAAAGTGTTCTGGACGCAGCTGGCGTGGCCTGATATAGAAGGATCGTATACTTTCATAGCCAAAATTATAGACGTGAGTTATTGACGGTTTTAAGAAGTCTTTGACGTAATTTCACTCTTGAGAATCTTTCACAAACAAATTCATAGCGTTTTCTAATCACTCGGACACTGCATTGATTCAAGTGTCTTAGCTAGCAGCTAAAGAAATATTCTAATTCTGATGACTGGTAATTAAAATTAATTTGTATCGCGATTTTTTAGGATATTTGCAAGTGTTCGATCGCGTATGCTGATAAAATGGCGAAGAAAGCAGAGCTCACCACCGAATTGGAGCAATTATCCGAAAGCAGCGTGTACGACAAGAAGTTCTTCGTGTCGACGGCATGGTGCTTCGCGATCAACAATATCGATTATATTAGAACATCGATCGCACCTTTGGCTAACGATCTGGGACTTCAGAATATTGTGGACGTACTGGCGGAAAAGAAAACGCAAGAAGACGCAGAGAGATGCCGACAAACCCTTCAATTAATTATCGATAATGCTACTGATACTGTGAAGAATAAGATCTTTGAATTGTTGCAAGTGGTGGCGAACAAAATGGCTCCTGCTATGAATAGGTAATTAGATAATTATCTGATCACACCCCCAAAAATGTCGAATCTCCTTTTTATCATTCTGCAATTAGAAGATTCTTAATTTCCACAATTCTACAATTAAAAAATTCCAGAACTTCAAAATTTGAAAATTCCAAATTTCCAAAAATTCTAAGAACAATATTTCTACCATTTTCAATTATTTCTAAATTCCATTGAAATTCAGGTATCTCATGGAGGGTGCAGAATTGATAGACACCACCAGTAACGCCATGGATCGTCTCCTCCAATATTTAGACAATAATTTAACCACCCTGCACGACAATTTGAACGAGGACAATTTCGAAAGAGTATTAATTGTCATTTGGGAGATAATGTCAGAGACCCTGTACCAATTAGTGAATAATAATTTAGAGGTACCTAAGAAGAATTCTAAACAACCAAACACGTGGACTTAAATTAAATTAATAATTATTTGATGCAGAAAAGAAGACCACCCTCGTTTTATTCGAATCTCCATCGAACTCTACACACGCTTATTCGATTTTTCAATGTCGGAGCGGATGAAGCAGCAAATGTTAAAGTTTTGGAGAAAATTGAACATCTTTTGCAATTGCATGGTTTGGAGACGGCTGACTTGATACATCGTTATCATCAAGAACGAGTGAAGGAACAAAAGGAGATGGATGAATCTGAATATGGACAGCTGACCATCAAAGCACAATTCGTGGATAATTCTTTGAGTATTCAAATACTGAATGCCAGAAAGCTGCGACCAATAGACAGTAATGGTAAGAAATAAAGACTACACTTTCCTTAAATATATAATTTAGAAATCGCATGATTACTATTTCGTATAGGGTGATTCTGATAATTGATTTGAATTTAAATTATTTTATTTCGTTTCTCTTTAGTACAATGATTAGCAATCAACTTCCAACTCTAACGATTGGAATTATAAACATTCATAAAGATATAGTACTTGATTCAAAAGAAAGAGTAAAATTAACTCGAAGGTCTTCACAGTGGAGACATCTTTCTTCGAATGAAATATTTTTGATATAAATAATCCAAGAATCACCCTGTATATCGTAGCAATAATTAAACTGAAAGAAGATCGCACGAATTCGAGCGCAATTTACAATGAAATTGATTTTTCGTAGACCGTTTAATTAATTGCCTGTTTCGTGAATCGATGACGGGAATGAGCGAGTGATTCGCGATAAAGGGAATGACATTTTCTTTCGATTTTGTAGGCGATTTGGTAGGCAAGGTGTCTACTCTCAAGCGCAAGCTTCATACAAAATCTAAACAAAGACTGAAAGAATGGAAGACAAGTATGTAAACGTGGATGAAAATACACGCTCTTCCTCATCATTGTTCCAAATAGAATGTTTCATTCGGTTTTGCCTGCCCTCGCGATTCTTAGAACGTCATATTTGCATGACACTGTTGAAGCAATTAACAGTGATTCCAATTAAAATCTAGCAAGACGAAAATTTCATTAACATCGCAAGATTAATGCAAAATAAATCTGTGAAATGATTCGAATCGTCTTCTATCTCGCTAGATTCGTAAAAGGGACCACTGTGCATTTCTGTTACTTTGAATTTGTACCTAGAGATGTATGTAGACAGTAGGAGACCATCAAGAACGATGATAGTCACCTTCACCGTGCATGATTCCACACTGGGGTCTTCTGGTAATTCGAAAGAACATCACGAGAATAAATTTCCTCCTGTTTTTAGGTAGCTGTGATTCGTACGTGAAAGTCAGGCTACTTCCAGAGGAAAAGTTCGCCGATGTGAAGCTTCCGAAAACGCATGTACAGAAGGAAAACTTGTATCCTCTGTTTGATGAAGTTTTCAACATGTAAGAGATAAATAATATCCCTGTGGAATATTATAAATCGTCACCATTTTTATCAATGATAATTCTAATATTTCCAGTCCCCTAACTACGGAACAGAGATCAACCGAAGGCGCGATAATAGCTTTTGAATTGAAAGACAAAGACTTTCTCAGATCGAGATTCATGGCAGAAGCTTTTCTACCGTTCAGCGAAGTTCCGGAAACGGGAGCAGATCGAGGAATAGAAACTCTTGACCAGATTCATCTAACACTTTCACGTCCTACCAATAGAAGTATGTTTCAATCTTAAACAACACCATTTCGTTTTTTAATCACTGATTTATTTTTGGATTTTATATATAGGTACCGAAGTAGTTCAGGCATTGAAACAGAGGAAAGGAGACAATCAGGCGACAGAATTTCTATCGAAGCTCAGTTCCAAAGTCGAAAGGAAAACTTAGTCTTCGTGGAAAAAGAATCACGATTTTATACTGTGCAACAACGAACACTATTAGATCATAATACCTGTTGATACGTAACATCTTTTACCAACATTTTTTAAATAATTTATTTATAGTCATGTATTTCAACGAAAATTGCATTTCCCTGAAATTCAAAGTTCTTTCAATTCAATCAACTCATTTTACATACACGATTAGAACTTCATTAGAAAAAGAGTATTTTTATAGAATACACGAAAGTATTTTTATAAAATTGTTTGAAGGTTTGGAGGATATTATAGCATACGTGTATATATGATCGTTGCATCAAAGGCGAAAGTAATTTTTTTTTATCCCGATTATTAAGTACCATACATCGATTTTTGAAGAAATACTCTTTGTACATAGCGTATTTTTCATAAAATAAAACATTTTACGAATATTTGACAAAGCGTGATCATCCTATTTTAAATACTACGTTTATTTGTACCAGAAATGTCACCAATTGTAATGCAAATAAATCATACAAAACTTCAGAAATAATTAATTATTTGTTACAGAAAACTTTTACATCATTTTTAATTTCATATGAATGCGCGCTTTGAGAACATACTTCTGTCGCTATCTAACGACGTGTGGTGAAATTAGAAACACAGAAAATTCGCCGATTTTAATGAATAAGTTATATTCACTTATTCTTTGAATAAGTTATAAACTTTGGTATATAGTGATCGTAGAACACTTTTTATGCTCTAATAGAAGAATAAAATTACTTAATTTTCAAAAATGCAATTTGCGGCTTTGTTAGTTCTATCTCTCTACACCAGATAGCGCTCCTAGTACAATTTTCAAATATCACAGTCAGGGAAATTAAAAAAACATAAATAAAATGTCCAATTAGGAAAGAAAAATAAGTTAATCTATTTTAGAATGAATTAAATAAATTTTTCAAAGTACTAAATCAAATATTTAACTGCATATTTTCAAAGATTCTGAATTTAAGATTGGCATCTTCTGAAGAAGATTCAGTAAAGGATGAAAATTTGATATCGCGTGGCAGACGCATGTAACGCGGATTACTTAATTGACTCCATTTCGTAACATGTTATCTCGTTATCGTGGCCCTTTCGTTTGATGATTCGGTGGCGTGCAGAAAGTCATCTACGCAACGCTTGTAGTTACAAGTGCACGCAATGCTAACTAATTTCGCAATTTTCTGTTATGGCTTAATTTTTTCGCCTCTCGTTCACGACAGTTCACGAAACGATTCAAAATTCTCTCTTTCGAAATACAATCTACACGCGAACCTTCAAAATTCCAAAGTGAAGGGATCAGGTGTTAAACGACACAAAATTTTGCAGGAACCAATTGAGATTTTAAAATTCAAGGAAACAGGAGAACTTCGAAAATAACAGAAACGTGAAACTTGAAATTTCGACAAGATACGAGTAGTACAAATTACAAAGTTAAAACGATTGCACGATTGATGGAAACTCAACACTTTTTGCATACTGATCGAAGGTACACAAGGGCGAAATTTCCAGCAGAAAATTCGCAAACATCGACACGGTGTTCCGTGGATTTTAAACGGAGAAACCGGCCTCGTAATTGCGTATAATGGAATCCGCGGGATCGTTTTACAGAAAGATCGGAAAAACTGTTTAAAATTCAAATGAATGCGGACGGTCGTGGCTACAGCAAACAGTGCAATAACCGGTGCTCACTTGACGATCGAGTTTTGGAAGCTTTATGTGCCAAGCAACGATGGCACTCCGCTTTAATTGCCTTACAATTGATTTCGTATTACTCCGAACCAGTTTGCTCGTCGTTGTTCCATCGTTGAACGTTAAACACTGCTCGAAAGGAGCATTTCGAAAAAATTGCGAAATCGAACATCGTTGTTCTCTTCGCGCGAACCAAACCACTTCAATGAAAAAGTTTTAAAAAAACTCTAACAAGTCGATGAAATAAATTGAAATTCGATCGACTGGTTATTACCATTAAACCGGTTATTACCATTAATAAATTCTTCATCTTTTTATCGAGGTACATTAATATTCCGGAATAATAGGTTCGATTTTAATATTTGAAAAATTTATGATAAATCTGGAGATAAAATTGCAAATATTTATTTCAATTTTTAATTTTGATATATTGGCACGAAAAATATTTCAATTTTTAGCTCTGAAGTGCATAATAATTATTCTACGCTCCTCGTCTCGCTACGTTTCTTTATTAATAAATGAAAATTCATTTGTTCCGACACATCGTCAATTTTTGCAACGTGCTAGTAATTTTAGATCGCACGTAAAATCGTTTCATCTCGACCCAGGTGCAGAATTAAAATATGGAAAATGAGGATGATGTATGTATTTTTGAAACTCGTGCACGAAATAAAGCTCTTCACTGTATCGGATGTTTTTAAATGTAATGTTCTTAAAAATAAAACGCGTAACGCTTTAACAACACAGTCTGGGTCAATCGTCATTTTCCCTATGGAAACCTGACTTGAACACGAGTGTACTTTCTCGCAAAGATTATTTATCGCGAAAGAATGCAGGATTCTTGACACACTTTGTTATTGTTCCGCGTATTAGTTGTGAAGGTAGTTTGAAGGTAAGAAATTTATCTAATCGTAGCATTAGAAAAATGTCATTGAATCATCTTCTAACGCCTTATTATCAGCTTAATCTCATTAGCTATCGCAAAGTTCCTATTTGAAATGAAATTAAAAACGCATTCTTATACACAATAAATGAAATTGTAACAATAAAATCTAATAAGAATCGAAGAAAGAGTGTTGGAACATCTAATGAAATCTAAATCGAGATCTGACGCGTGTGTACAAGATTTCAAATCGGTTATTTGAAAAGCTACTTGACCACGATTGTCAATCGTTGCAACACAAGAAAAATTGATGAGTAACCATTAGATAAATGCTAGAGAAACACCTGGTTTACCGTCCTTCGCGCACCTGACAAAACATTCCAAGTAAATCGTACAATACAATCACAATGATCGCGTCAATATTTTCCAGCCAGTCGAAAGCGGTCAAAGGGTTGAAAATGTAGCAACGCGGTTTCTATGAAAACATTCGACGAGCCTCCATAAATATGGATTACCTTGTCCGTTCTTCGCGTAAAGTTCTCCCGTTGATACGAGGTTATCTCGGGGCCTGAAAAGTTTCGTTTAAAAGTATCCCAGCGTCAAAAGTTTGCATCTCGTTATACGGTGGCTTTTCCGCGAAAATGGTATCTCATTTCTTTGCATGGGAACGCGATCTTCGTTATTAGAAGCGACCCTTTGAACCACGAAGGTCGCGCAAGAAGGATCCTCTGTCCCGTGTGTTCAAATTTTAACCCTCTGAAGGTGGATACCCTTCACGAAATATAAAAAAAAATTTTCAACCAAAAATACTCTGAAGCTGAGTCCGCGACGGGGTTTCCTTTGATGTCTTTGAAACAACCGACAACAAACGGATCTCGCGTGCGACTCACAGATGTACACCGACGTAAATTTATTAACAGGCGGGAAAATTTATTCCCAATGCAACGCGTGATGTAAATTTTTAGCAGCGGGGACTAATTGAAACTGATTCAAAGATTCAAAAGCAAGATTACCCGAGGTCTTCTCGAAAATCATCCTCGGAGGAAGTTTTAGATAGCCGATTGAAGCGATTCATTTTTTTAATTCGTAATTTGGAAAGAATCTATGCAGAGGAAAGTTTGATTGGCAAGCAAGGTACGTGTTTGTGACACGTTTCACGGAACCGTCGTTCACACGCGAAAGGGAGACTTTGTGACGCGTGTATCGTCGCATAATACCGGCACAGCAGCGTTCTGCAGACAATACGTAATTACCGGGAATGTCGATCGATACCTGGCTGCTATGTAAACTAACCAACGATGACTGTTGAGCGATAACAATCGTTTCGAAACGTGCAATCTAAAACGAGTTTAAAAGCGACGGGACACCGGCTATTTACCCCCGATGCGGCAACCGAGTTTCATCCACCCCCCATGGCCACCCATTCCTCTTTTTTCCACTGCTACTCTTTTTTTCTCTCTCTCTCTCTCTCTCTCTCCCTCCTTTTTTTTTGCTCTCATTTCACCGTATCACGTCATGCAATTTTGAGCCGTGTAATTACACACGCAACGTATGCATAATGTTCGCGATGGAAAGGGATTCAACGCGGGACACGCGCGACGAGAAAAATGAACGGTTGTTTGGTTAATTTACCGTTGTTTAACTGCGTTGCCGGCGTTGCATTGCGTATGCGACAGAAAAAATAATGAAATCGCTTATGAAGCGTTTCATCGTTGCTGACGATTAACTCTTTTGATAGATATATTAAGTAGCAGCGAGATAGCGGTGGTAAATAATGAAGAAAGTTGTCGCGTTTTGATAAACGGTGCAGGAAATGGGAGGATAATTTCAATTTTCAATTTTGTTAACTGTTATAGCGTGAAATAATTTTCTACCCTCGCGCAGCCGCGTGTCGACCAGTTTAACGGGGTAAACTTTTAATCTAGCCTTCTTAAACAGTAAATCTACCCCGGAATGAAAGGATCCCCAAGCGACAAAGAGTTCGAGCTCACCATCCAACGACGATTATATTCATTCGGAGGTGCACGCGAATCGAGAACCGGATTTTAATCCGGGGTGACAGTGACGAGACGCTGACGCGAAGATCCGCACGAACAATTCGTGTCCCGTACCCTTCGAGACCATTGAAAACCCTTTGAAATTAGCATAATCGTCACTATGAACCGACACGAGTACCGTAAATGAATGAACACGATATTATACGTGTCATAGTAATAATGCTTTTAGCGAATCGATATTTTCTTCTATCATTCCTTTTTTCAATCCGTTTGCTTTTGTGAACCTCGCGCACGTGGAACGATTGTGCAATGTTAAAACGGTGGAAAATGCGAGCGACTGAGGGTAAAATTGTTTAGGGGAGGGTTTATTTTAAATAGGCAGAAAAGGAAATAAAAATGATCGCATACGATGACCGCAATTTGCGGCCTCCACTCTCGGAGGATCGATAGCCGAGAAACGATTATAGCGTAATCGTTCTAGTATAGTAAGTGGAGGTCCTTTTGTTTTTTTCTTCCACGTCGAATCGATGATTTTGCTCTACTTTTTCTGTACCGATCTCTATTGCCTACCGTGCAATTTTATATTTCCTCTGCTATTAGAAAATATATTTCAATAATCAAGGTTCGCTATGGTACACGAGTGGTTTAAAAATTCCAGATCCAAAGAGACAAATTGTTACGTTTGTCCCTGCTCTCCCCCTATCAGCAATAAGAATTAAATTCCGACCAAAGTAAAAAAGGGAGCGTAAGTGTGACACCAAACAATAAGGTGTCCTTTTCACGGTCCAGCCGGGAAGTGTCGCATAAAAAGCGGTGCAAATGCTCGATCCGCGAGCAATTACCATCGATACGAGGGTATACAGGATCGTTCAGTCGATCCAGATGGTGCCGGAACGAGGCTTAAGCCCGGGCTCGTGTGCCAGGGCACGCAC